GGGTGTGTCCTTGTATTTTTGATTATCATAGATTTTATGGATATGACTGTGTATCTTGAAGTTCAGGTCATGTTGATGTAAACATTAGTCTATGTAGTCAATCATGCTCATGAGGTAGCATAAGAAGATGGTTTTGAATCAAGTATGTTTGATATGCGGAATAACTGTACTTGATATGGTGTAAGATGTTTATGGAAATTGGGAAGTAATCAATTATGTCTCTAATTATTTATGGAGGCAGTAAAAGGGCTAGTCACAGGTAAGAGTCATGAATGATAAGCCTTCGAGCTCTTGAAGGACTTGATGATATGTACTTTTAGTCGATTAGTCAATCTATTGTTGTCTGCCTTTGACAATGTACTTAACGCATAACGACACTTGTGTGTCGACTGTTGGGGGCCTGTACAGTTTCGACGTGTTAGTTCGAGAGAGCGTAAGTTTGCCCGATCGACTCTAGCGGGCCTGTACGGCTTCGAGTTGTTAGTTCGAAAGAACGTAAGTTTGCCCGTCCTATTATTGCGAGGTGTGACTAGCTTATTTATTAATATAAAAATGTTCTTCGTAAACTGCAGACAAGGTGTGTTATTTTACAGCTGACGTCCCCTTTGATTACTATTCCAACTGCCTTCACTGTAAATCACTACTAAAATCTGTGATTTCCTTTTAATAATGTACACGTATATTATTAACTAAACTACCAAATTTATGGCCACGTGTCTTCGTTACAGTATATACTAATACGCAGAGCGGTAATTACAGTTTAGTGAGGTTTCTAGTCTGACCCCAGACAGTAATGTTACAATTTGTTTAATTATGACTGTAATGTTGTTTAAAATTAATATTAAGTAATTAATTAATATTAAGTAAGTATCATATTTATTTATTTATTACTTTGTTAACTATTGTATTGATAATATTTTCTTAATTAATTGTTTCTTAAAATACGATTTCATAAGAAATAAATGTCTATCAGCATCTTACTTTTTCTGTTATTTAGATTTGTTCGAAACTGTTTGATTTCCTGACTCGAACTGCCAATGTTTCGATAGCTTTCTAATAATTTGCTGTCCGCCCTGGCGAATGCTTAGGTAAGAACTTAAATGGAAGGACCGTTCAGATATACAGACTGCAGTGTGTGCAGACTTCGTTAAATATCATTTATTATCGTTTATTGACTATTACATTATTGATGAGGTGACTTCACTTCTCAGGAGAGTATGAACCATGTTCAATCACAATAATGTTGTTGCTCCTTGTTGAAGCTGATGATATGTTTGCAATATTAGCAATGGATTATGTTTACTTCTTGGAAAGGAGTATAACTTATTTATGTAGTTGAGGTCTTTGTTAATGTTGTAAGGATTAGCAAGAAGTTCTGCATATTCAATTGGAGTGAGTATGACTTGAATATGTAATAGTTATCCTCAATAGAGACTGCTGGTACACCTTCGTGATAAGGTGTTCTTCGATACCATGCTTCGTGTAATGCAGTTAGCACCTTTGTCTATTTGTTAGCTATTGCACACTGGAGAATGGTGTGTATTCCTTCTGTAATGGCTTCACTGAGAGAGCCTGTTTCTTCCTTGGCACCCCCATTTAGGCAGCTTGTTCCACGGCGTCCGTGCTAAGACAGAGCGTGTTCTATCCATGGCATCCCCAGTGTAAGAGCCTGTCTCGTGGCGGCCCTGCTAAGAAAGAGCGTGTATCTCCTGAGTGACTAGCTTATGGCTGAGTAGCGCATAGCTTAGCGACTTGCTTTAATATTTCCACGCGACAGCCTAGTTGGTGTTGTCAAAAATGGAATTGTATGTGTTTTGCACGAGCCCATGTGGATTCTTAAGCAATTAAAACAGTTTTTGAAAAACTTTTTCCAGATGTGCAACACTCTTGGGCTTTCCCCAGATATCTGGGCGACTTGGGTTTTCCCCAGATGTCTGATACTCGCAAGAAGTTCTCGCAATCTCGTAGATAATTATACCGTCTTTTTTATTAAATGCTTATTTAACCATTAATCTGTCGGCTACTAAATTAATAAAAAATTATTCATTCGATCAGTTAGCATTTTGTCAACATTTTTTATTATTACTTTAAATATTTATAATTGACCTTAATTTTTAGAATACCTTAAAAACATTAAAATTTTGAAAATATACTTTTGATATTTTTTTTGATATTGTAAAAAGTTTTTTTATATAATAATTTTATGTTTCATAATTGTTTTAATTATCATTGTCTGGGATCAGACTTAAAACCTCCTGTTGATGGTGGGTGGAGGCTTGCTGTCAAGTGGAAGGGGCAATGCAATTATTCAATACTGCCTTTAATGTTTATTGTCTTTCCTTTTATTAAATATAATAAATATAATAAATAGTTAATGATCTATGGATGTCAGAATGAATGTGTGAGAGAATAAATAAATGAGTGTTCAATTAATTGTTGGTGGCGATAAGCCTGTAGTGTATTTTCTTGGTAGCTTGGAGCGTAATTCCCCTTCTCTTTATGTTGATTAGCTGTAGCGGGAGACTCGCACTGGTGGGGGCAGCGAGTTGGTGCCGCCTTAGCCACCGGCGTAGGATGAGCGCCGTAGTGGTCAGAGTGGTGGGAGGATGTCTGTGTTACGTCACTGCTTGAGTGAGTGGGAGATTCACTCGTATCGATGTAATGCAATGTCGATAGTGTGCGGTACTTTCGTGAGCGTGAGGACCGCTCTCATGCATATAAAGGTGAGTGACGTTCGTAATGCGTCGCTGCGTAAGCCTACGTGAGATCAGATGTGGTTGTGGTATTGGTGCACGTCAGTCGTGCGTTGCTGCTTACTTAGTTGACAAGGGTCGTTGTAGTAGTAATCGTAAGAACGAGCGAGGTATGTAGGGTGATTGTAGGTACAATGGCGAGCCTGTCGTGATAAGTGCTTGATTGGACTAGTAAGAAGGGAGAGCGTCAAGTACAGCTCCTTAAATATCCTAGTTCAAGCTTGCGGAGCCGGTGGCTACTGGTTCTCTCTTGCCATGCCGATCGTTAGTATGACATCACTAGAGTCTAGCCTTGGGGAGTTCGTCGGCCTTGTTAGTCGGAATTATATTGTAATATTTCGATATTCTGCATAGTGAAGTTTCCCGAATTCACAGAATTGTGTTTATGACTATATGTATACAGGCGCGCAGGTGTTTCTAACTGAGTAAAGGTGTCTTCACCTCTGCCACTTTGTATACCGCTTAAAACTGCTGTAATCCGTAACAATCAATTATTATATAAAAACCATTAAAATGAAATATACAAGATTTTTAATCTTGTTTCCGTTATTATTTAATAATTTTTAAATATGTCTATATAATATTATATACAATATTTTTATTGAAAAAATTCGTATTTCAATAATAAATTATGTTACTGATTTTTCATTAAATAATATTCTTTAAGTACAATGTATTTTTCAAAGTATTTGTTATTAGAAGAAATACCTTTTTATTTTTTTATTTGAACTATAAATTAAACTTTATGATTTTTTTTATGTAAAACAATTGCAGGTCGTACTTTAAATAATAAATATTTCACTTATATTGTAACATAAATCATCTGCTTTTAACGTCAATAGTTTTCGACACATTGATAGGTAGTTGTTAGTTTAAGGTTTATTTACAAAAAAAGTAATATGATTGCAGTAAATTTATTAAAATACATTATAAAATAAAAAATAAAATTTGTCAATATTATAAATGTTTTTAAGATAGATACAAGATTATGTTCCATTACAATATTAATGGATACATTATAGTATCGATGTAGAAAAAAATATTTTTAATTTGTGACATTATTTTTAAATTAATTAAATCCTTAATTATGAAGAAAATATAAAATTATTTCTAATTTAATTATATAATATGCACTTATAAAAAAAATAGGTCAATAAATTAAGACGAATTCGAGTGTATTAATTAAAAATTAAGAAAACAATAACAATAAACTTATGAAAGTAATGGAAAAGATTATATCAAATTTAAATTGTAAGTCTAACAATATGTAACGTATGTCTAAAAATTATTAATGAAAAAATACAACAGTTACAAAGTCAAAACTAAAATAGTGCAGTGTAAATTATTACTCAGTTGTGCTTTGATGCAGCAAACCAAATAATTTGATGTAGATGATACATCTAAAACTGCCATAAGAAATCAATTGATAGGGGGCAAATTTTCTGTTAAATTACTAGTAATGAATTTAGTATGTTGCATTTTGTTTACCGATGTTTCTGAGAAATACTACAGAACATAAACTTAATCCATTATCTATTCCTGGATGTAACTTTACTTGTCCCATAGATCAATTTATAAATTTACTAAGTTCAATAATAATCAGAGAAGATAAATAGAAACAAGAGTATACTTTAAACGATTTTAATTACATTCCTCGTAAATGTTTACTATAAAAATTTATGTTCAAAATTTAAATTTGTAATCTTTTTATTTTATGATCGACATAACAAAATATAAAGTAATTTTATGTAAATGTATAGATATATTGCTTGTTTAATATAAGAGAAAAACAATACATTTATAAACATTTATAGAAAACATTTATAGAAAACATTTTTTATAAATTCAAAACCTATTAGAAATTTTTTTATAAATATCAAATTGATTATAATTTTATATTTTATTATCAATAAAAAATCTGCTTTGTATTTGGATAAATTAACACTTTGAATTTGTATTAATGAAGCAAATACAAAATCAACGTGATATTAATTTGATCAATTTGTACTATTATAGTATTATACATATTTAGATTACACGAAAGTACAAATATTAATTTTAATTAAAAATGTAAATATTTAGTTTTTTGTTCTTTAGATATTTTTGTAATATTTGAAACAATATAATTTAAAATTAAATTATAGATTTAAACTTAAATTGCTTAGAAAAAAAATATCTTCAAATATTTATTTTGTTTTTCACAATTATAATATTTAACGACATACTTTTAATTCTAATTTTACATCTGATTACATAATTGTTAAACAAAATTATGTTAAATATTTTAAGCGAAAATTTTTTCTTCTCGTCGTTTTTTAGTAACAACCGTTCCTGGCTTATGTTGTGCATCCGGATGATTCAGTAGCTCTGGAGGACAAGTCGAAATCGGACTTGATAAGATCGTTTGTTTAAGATCATAGAAAAGATGACTATCATCTTTAGTGCAAAAAGATATAGCTATACCAGCCTTTCCAGCACGACCTGTTCTTCCAATTCGATGTGTGTAATCTATAAATTAAAATAATATATAACGTCATTAAATTTTATTTGATATATTAGTAACCTATTTTGTTTAATATCAATACTACTCATTCATTATTTACCTTCAATTGTTTTTGCCATGTCATAATTAATAACCATAGAAACATCTTTAATATCAATACCACGACCAGCAACATCAGTAGCAACCAAAATATCTTTACTTCCACTTTTAAGTGAGGCAAGAGCATACTCTCTCTGTTCTTGTCCTTTACCACCATGAAGTGTACAAGCATTGTACTAAGTAACAATATAGACTATTAACACTAAGTATAATTTTATTGCATAACATTAATATACATATTCTAAACTTACTCCAAGTTTCTCTAACCCTCTTGCAAGTACATCAGCTCCCTTTTTTTGATTGACAAAAATAATAATAGGTGGTTCAACACCACGACTAAGTATCTCCATAAGTTTTCTTCTCTTATCAGCTTCACCCATTATATGTACAATTTGTTCAGTTCGTTCAGTAGGTTTACCTACACTGCCAATATACACTACTGCTGGTCTTCTTAAATATGTTCTAGCTAATCTTTCAACTGCTGCTGGCATAGTAGCTGTAAACATAACAGTTTGCCTATATTTCTTTTTAGTATTATAATTAGCCAGGAGTTTTTCTTCATTTTCAGCATCCTCATTATCAGGTTTAAGATTTGTAACAGGCATATATTCCAAAATCTTTTGTACATCAGGTTCAAAACCCATATCTATCATTCTATCTGCTTCGTCAAGAACAATATATGTACACTGATTTAAAACTAAATATCTATTCTCCAAAACATCTATTAATCTTCCAGGTGTAGCAATAACAATCTATTGATTATAATTATTGCAATTATATAATGAAAAAATCAAATTAATATTTTATAAATTCAATAATTATAATTATTAAATTTAATATGTCCATATTATATATATATATATATATATATATTGGTATACATATTTTTTACAAGATATAAGCGTACGATTTAAGTTAATCACCTCACATCCCATCCTTAATCTAAAACCCTGTTCTTCTCTAGAAAGACCACCAACGACAACCACAGTTCTGATTCCTAATGGTTGACCAAATTTATTTGTTTCTTCCTCAATTTGTTGAGCTAACTCACTGAAATAATAAATTTAAATATAAATATAATAATAAATACACAATATAATATAAATGATACAAACCGTGTTGGAGCTAGAATTATGCTATATGGTCCTTGATCAGCTTCTTCTAGACGCTCAATTTTTGGAAGGCTTGTAATCCACAATAAAAGAGGTATTAAAAAAGCTAATGTTTTACCTGACCCTGTTTCAGCCACACCAATAATATCACGATTTTGTAAACCAATTGGAATTGCCTGTCGCTGAATTGGTGTGAGATCTTTATAACCAACCTTGTCAATTATATCCAAAATTTCTTTTTGAAAACCAGATTCCTTCCATGATCGAATTGGATCGGGAATACGACCACCTTTAATAGTTATATTGTAATCTTCTCGAAATATACGCCAATCACGTTCAGTCATTTCATCAAGTGCTTTTTCTGACCAATGACGATCATCCCATTTTTGCTTTTCTTCTTTTCGTTTCACTTTTTTTAATCTTACCCTATAAAATATTAAATATTAAAATTAAATATTAAAGTATTTTTATATTTATATAAATTTATATAATATATAAATATAGAAATATATATTTATATAAATTAAAAATTTAGATACTTTTCTTGTTCTTTTTCTGCTTCTGTTCGTCTTTTTTCTAATAATTCCCCATAAAATTTACTTTGATCACGTTTTTGGGCTTTAATATCAATGCCAGCTAAATTTCCTCTACCAAAAAACTGTACTTGATGCCTTTCTTTATAAATATTATTATAGTCAACTGATGTATCTTCTGAAGTATCCCAATCAAATACAAATTTACGATCATTTAATCTTCTTACACGCCGTTTCTTTTTGACTAATCCAAGATATCTTTCTTTTATAGCTTCTACTTCTTTTTCTTTATCCTTATCTTTAATTTCTTCATCACGAGACCTTTGATTTTCTCTACGTCTGCATAAAAAATTATTGCTATAACTAAATTATTTTTCATAAAATTGTAAATATAATTTTTATTATTGGGGTAACAAGAAGTTAAAACATTTTGTTAATTTAAAAAATAATAAAATATTTTCATTTAAATTGGGTACTGTTATTATTTAATTTTCTTAAATTATTTGTATTAAAACTTTATAATATCAATAGTTTTATACAAATTTACTAATATGTAAAAATTAGAAAAATTATAATTTTATAACAAAATTAGATAAATATATTTTAAATCAAATATACCTATCACGATCATCCCATTCTCTATTATTATTTGAATTTGATGCATCAATTTGAGAAATGTTCTTTTTTTGTTCTTCTTGCTGTTTTCTGATAGCACTAACTTCTTCTTGTCGTTTCTGTAATGCTAATACAGCTCGTTCTTGTTTAGAAAGAAATTTTGGTTTAGCACGAGCTTTTTCTTCAGCTTTTTTTTTAGTTAATAATTCTTCTAAACTCAAAGGCTCTTTTTTAGCTATTGGTTTTACTTTAGGATCTATATTTTCTTCTATTTCATCTTCCTTTTTACATGATACTTTGCCGTCTCTCTTCTCTTCATCAGTTACAAATATAGGATTAACTTTTTGTTTTTTATCATCTTTACTTTTATAATCTTTAACATCTCGCCTTTCTTTAGATTTATCATATTCTTTATCTCTGGATCTTTCACATTCTCTTTCACGAATTCTATCTACATCTTTTTCTTTGGAACGATCTCTACCTCGAGATTTATCTAAGTCATGAGATCTAGATCGTTTTCGATCTTTCTTACGATCTTTTGATCTACTTCTAGAACGTCTTCGCTCTCTATATTCTCTATCCCTTTCTTTTTCACGTTCCCTGTCTCGTTCTCTAGATCTACTTGGTCTACTGGACTTCTTATCATAATTTTTATTCATTGCATAAATATTCTATAAAACAAGTGACTAAAGAGTATTAAATTAAATTGGTTACTCTAATGATCAATAAGTATAAATATAATGACAAAATTTTAACAATTTATTTTATATTTCTTATTACTGTATACATAAAACCTTCAATATAATATAAATCATACTATGATCATTTTTGTAATTACAACAAAAGTTAACCCGCATAAAAGATTATATAAATAAAAGTAATGACTTAAGTTCTCTATGTTATGAGTTAAAATATAATTTTCAGTTTACATGTATCAAGCATTTTCAAATAAAAATTTCATATTATTCCATATATTTTTTCTTGTAATATATTATAAATTCTTTTTATGTGATCTTTGTAGTTTTAAATACATGTCATGTTTAATTAATTAGATTAAGCAATCATATCAATTATTTACAATTCACTTCCCACCATTAAATATTAAAAATAAAAATAAAATATTACTTTAATTTCCCTGAATTTTACAAAGTATATATACACCATTAGTTTTACTAAGAAAAACTTCACATTATCACAATGCAGTTTTTTAAAACATTAATAAAATTTATTTATTTATAAATTTTATTATTTTAATGCATAAAAGAATATTAGAAAATAAATTTGTTTCTGTTATAATAAATTTACAGTAACATAATTATTCTCATTGTAAAGAGAAAATGGTAATGTAACCTCAAAATTAGCATATAAACATACTGTATATTTAATAATTATCTTACATCTTGATTTAACAATAGTAAAAAATACATTTTTAATACAAGATCAAAATCTACTTAAACTCACCGATTTACCTATCGAAACAATATGAATTTCGAATTTTATAGGTTCTATTATGTATTTATAACTGCTGAATAATCCTTTTTCAAAAGATATTAATTCTTATATTAGTTTTATTATTTTACTTATTAAAGACTGTATATAAACATGTAAAAATTATCAATATTTTAATACAAAATATATACTCACTACTACAATAAAACATATTTATTAAATATTTTAATAAACATATTAACAAATTGTTCTTAAAATTAAATCAGATTAAAAATATGAAAAAATTTATTATGTATATTTTGTATAATGTCTCTATTCTATTGATATTTTTTTTGTAGAACCAGGAATAACTAATCAATTTTCTATTGATTAATTAAAATTTATTTGAATTTATATTTTGTGTACGTACAGAAATATAAAAAAGAATTTCGGAAAACAAAATTTTGTCATTAAATTAACGTACCACTATTTTATCAAATTAAAGACATTAGTTTATAAATAAATAAATGTATTTTAATTTAATTTTAAAAATATTATGTTTATTTAAGTGTACTTTTATCGTCAAATATGTTACATGTTTTAACTAATTTTTTTTTAATTTTGTTTAACAAGTTAGTTTAAATAGAAAACTACAATATAAATTTATAATAAATTTTTGAAAATTGAACGAAATACCGGCAGTGATACCTGACTTATGATTATAGATATAAAATACAAAATCAGACTTACACAAGCTAAATAGAGATTACCAGCAATTATAAGTATATTACAATTGTACCAAACCACAACAATAATATATTCATATACTTAAATATTACAAAAATTATAAAAATGAATAAAGATAAACAAACAAATATGCAAATAATAGCTTAATCATTATTAAATTGAGTTTGTTCGGAATTCCAGTCAAGATGGTTGGATTATACCATATCCACCATTTTACTGGTGGAACAGTGTGAATAAGTGAGAATCTAATGCTTCAATTCATTAATCAACATAATTATTTTTCGTGCTATTTATTGAGTTTTGATTTACAAATACACAATTATGATTCTACGTTGGTGGTGAGAACGTTGAGACCTTACCGTTCCTTAGTGATTTTTTGACGTGCAGATAGCGGGCATTCCGAGTTGAGGTTGGAGGTTGTAAATCTCCGGATCCTCTTGGTGTAGTGTGCTTGGTGGAACTTACTATACAGAAGTGCAAGGTCCTAAATCCTTGATACTCTTTGTATAGTGCCATGTATGGTGTTTTAAGTACGAGTCTTGTTTTGATAAGTAAATCAAATGATTCTATACCTCAGTGTATCTTGGTAGTGCGCGCGCTGTGGCACTTATCGAGATATAGTGGGCATTGTCTTCTTAATCCGGAGTACAGCTCTGGTTACAGTGTCGTCATAGTGCTTGAATCTAGAGGACAGCTCTGAATACAGCGACGTCTAATACAGAAGTGGTAGCGCCTTATTTGAGAGTACAGCTTCGGTTACAATGACGTCTTAGTGATGAGTGTAGTGGCCTTTTGCAGTTCAACATGTTTCCACCTAGTTGACTCAAGCAAGTGCCCAGATTTTGCGCTTCTTGTAGTAGTGTATGTTCTTGTAATGCAGTCCGTACTCTTGAGTACTTTCAATTATAGCACACCTGAGAATTGACCGTGTGTTCGGGATTGAAACCAGTTTCAAGACCGCCAATTGTCGGCATCGCAGACTTTTTAGATTTCAGATTTCTTTAAACACTTGGACGAGATTTTTCGTATACTTTTGGTAAGTTTTGGTTTCAAATGGCCCGTAATGTTTATATGGTCTTCGAGTAATAACATCGCCCGAAATTCTCTAACATTATTATGCCTTATTTTTTCTTTTGTCGAATTCTCGAAAGTTCTAAATTTTTCTTTCTGCGCCTCATGTAATATTCCAGTGCAGCAACAACGATGCTTTGTTACCAGCTAAGTGAGCCGCCGCGTCGATATATAAAGCATGCGGCATGTCCCGCTCTCTTGCTGAATTGCCCTCCAGCTGAAGTGCTTCTTCTTGAAGCTCTTTCTTCTTGAACTGCGCTTTCTACAAACATCTTGGCGTGACCCGAACGCAGTGAACCGATCTAACCCTCTACCAGTAGAAGCGATGGCACACGAGTCTCGGTCTGCCCTCAGCGGGACCGCCATGGAACGGTCGATATTTTCAGCAGAGCCGCCACGGAACAATCAAGCCTTCGGTTTTCGTGCGCGTATTCAAGGAGCTTATAGGCTCATTGTAATTCTACCTCGCGTTCGTTCAACTCTTATTACCACTCAGTGTTTTTAATATATTATGACGACACGTGGCCGCATATTCGGCAACAAACTTAAAATTACACGTGGATTATTAAAAGGAAATCAGCAAGATGAGATAGTGATTTTACAGTGAAGGCTGTTAGAATCGTAATCGAAGGGGGGCACGCCAGCCACGCAGAAAATCAACATACCTTGTCGATAATTTACAAAGTACACATTCTTTATATTATTTAAATAAGCTAGTCGCACACGAGCAAATCGAGTTGCATTAAACCCGTCTTCAATAAGTCGACAGGTGATAGAGTACGCTCTTTCAAACTAATACTTTGTCATCGTGCAGTCCCTCAAACAGTCGACAGGTGATAGAGTACGTTCTCTCGAACTAATACTTCGTCATCGTGCAGTCCCTCAAACAGTCGACACAATTGACGCAACACGTCAATTATATTGTCAAATCCAGACAACAATTTATAGAAGAATCGACAATAAATACATCTTCATCAAGCCTTCAATGCTCGAAGGCTTGTAATTTATGACTCTTGCATGTGACTAGCTTTCTACTGCTCCCATAATAACTAGAGATTATGCAAGAGATGAGCTTAAACAAGATTTTACATTATTAAGTATGTTCATTATTTCTACCAAGCATACTTGATTCTAACACCATCTTCTCATGCTCATTCATGAGCATGATCGACAACGCAGGCTGATATTTACATCAGCATAACCTCAACTCTCACGATACACAGTAATTTCTATAGCATCAATAATCAAGAACGCGAAGAAACATCCTCACTACTAAAATAGAATAATTCTCTCTCTCAACAACAGTGCAATATTATTATAATATTTAACAAATAATAAACATTGGTTTTGCTAAAATACATAATATCTTTCAGCCCTTCCACTTATTATTTCCTTTTAATTTATCATGAAAAGAGACTAATCCACTGAACTATTGAATTGACAGTTCGAGCCATAAAACAAATCCTTAATAATCGGACATCGTGTATTTATTATAATGGGTTCACTGTTGACGTAACTGAGTAACTAGCCTATAGCTGTGAAGTCTGACTGAATGATGTTATTACAATGAATACCTACAAGCCTATTAAATACACACACGAAACTGAAGGCTTGTTCGTTCAGTTGCGGCTCTGCTGAGAGATAGCGACTGTTCCATGGCGGTCCTGTCAAGACAGACCCTGATTCGTGTCATGGCGTCTTCTCTGAGAGAAGTTTATTGAGAGAGTAAGCTCGTCGCGTTCTTCCATTAAATATCCGCGCGACAGCTTACTTCGCCAGAAAAACAAGGCTCTACAAATTTTGTAGAATTCAAAACGATGTTGCTATGCGAAAACTAGATAAAAATTACAAGACGTTCGTAAGTAAAAACGTTAAAATGATCGAGAAATTTCGGAGTCAATGTTTACCATTTCGCGAGCTAGAACGATTACAAATTTCGGAGAATTAATTTTCTTGAAAAGTGATCCAATCCTAAACAGAGTCATTGAATTATACTGTAAAGAATAAATTCTTTCTTATATGTATATATATTATATGTAATATAATAAAATTGAAATTAAAAATCTTATATTACATATATACTAGCTCTTCTAAATCTAATGTATTACATGATTATTAATCATAAGACTTTATTACGATTTCAATTTGTGCTTATCATCGATTTTGAATCAATATAAATAAATCCAAACGATTATAAATAATTGATACGAACATGTTTTCATTATTTATAAATTTTTCTTGGTTAAGTTTTTATTTAATTAGGTGTAATACTTAGATTTTTTATCTTTTCAATAATTAAATCCCTTATGATCCTTTATTGATACATTCTGAATCAAGACGTCACTACTCCTATCGCTGCATTCTAGATCAAGACGTCACTATTTCTGTCACTGCATGCTGTATATATATAAGATACCGCTACCAAGACACATTAAGATATTGAACCATTTCTTCATCCTTCCACGCATCAAGAGGAGACTCGCAACCAAAACACCACATGGCACTGCACTATGGGGTGTACAGAAATTTACGATCTCTCACTTCTTAGTGTAGTAACTTACCAACAAGTCCACTACATTAAGAGGACCCGGAGATTTACGACCTCTTACCTCAACGTGTACTGCATGCTACCACCACGTGGAAACCACCTACGAACCATGGACCATTTAGAAGGTTAAAAATTTTCAGAATTGTTCGGATTTGTAATTTCAATTTCTTTAAGAAACCTTCAAAGATCAAAATTATAATTAAATTTTTTTAACCCCCTAAAATAGTAGAAAAATCATTTTAATAGTAAATATTTACGCCATCAAAATATGGGTTTCTAAAATTAATCGTTTTACATTTGCTGTCTGGTACTACAAATAATTTGAATAGTTTAATTATTCATAAATAATATATTTTCAAATTGTTAAAATTGAAATTGAAGATTTTAAAAATAATATAGTTATTCCTAATAACTTTAACCTCCGAATACTTAGCAGGTTTTGTTTTTAACAAGCAAATTGTCTTAATTCATATAAAGTTATTTATTAACGATTTAGTTACGTGGAAGAATATATTTTTTGTATATTTTCCTATATTTTCTTGGCTTAAGTTATGGAATAAAAATAATTATAGAATAATAATAAAAACTTTAAACATATAATTAATACGGTAAATAAATTTACACGGAAAATATTATTATTTATTCTACAAAATATTTAGTATTACAGCTTAATTTAAAAAAATAATTATGAAATTTAATTAAACATAAATAGTATAATTGATTTTGAATTCAAAATAAATCAATTTATTTTCATTTATGTATAATTCATTATATAATTCAATTATGTATAAATCAATGAATTATACAGAAAATATTATACAATTCGTATAAACTACGGTACTATTGCTATTCAAACCATATAAATACAATAAAAATCTATCTTAATCTTTCATACTAATTTGAAAATGACCTAACGATAGAAAATAACGAATATATTGTCATCTTTAAATTTAATTAATATTAAACTAAAAAGTACTTTATCGGATCTTTAATATTATATACAAATTTCCTCGTTTTCTCTTTTTACGAAAATTTTCTACTTTATTTAAATATTTCTAACTTGAACTTATTGTACTAGTATAATGTTATAATAAGTATAATAAGTAAGTGTAATATAGATATACTAGTTATCAATATACAGTCAAGAAAAAATTACTTTATTTTTCAGAAGCATATTTAAATCTGTCATTAAATCAAAATCTTTTTCTTTTTACCAATGAGAAATAAAATTTTTTAGGCAAAAATTCAAGCATCCTGTTATTGGAATAATGTAATATTATTAAATGTAATATTAATAAATAATAAATGTAATATTAATAAAATAATACACCTCGCACTATGTCTCATATTAAATAAATGTGAAAGTATGAATTCGATAAGTCAGTTAAAAAGTTCATCATCTTTTAATATGACAATTTACCTTCATGCTATTTAAAATTTTTAAACATAACAAAATAATTCATTTTTTTAATAACATAAATAGTATTATATTTTTGTTTAAAATATTTAAAAAAATAAAAATTTAATATAATATTCGCAACCCAATTTTGTATTTATATGCACTAATTATATAATCATTATAAACTCTTAGTTTTATTTAATTAATAGTGCCAATATAAATTTCATTTACGTATTATAGAATTTATTGAAAATTTTTTGATTAATAATTGATATATTAAAATCATTATGAAATGAAAAGCATTAAAATCTTTTTATAATTAAAAATTATTTACTGTAAATAACCGAATGAAATGGAAAATACTGCTACATTAAATAATGAAATAACGCATACAATTTTTATCCCAGTTTACATTTAATATTAAAAATCTTATTTACTTTTATCCTCTCAATTTTCTAATTAAAGAAAAATCAATTACTCATAAAGTATCATGATTTAAGAAATTTTAAGAATATCCATTTCGCTGATCCATACTAATCATTCTTCGGAAATGAACAGAATCTCTCTAATAAAAAATATATTATATTATGTTATATAAAAATGATATAATGACAAATATAAATACATGTTACTATTAAAAGAAATAGTAATAAATAATATGTAATTGTTAAAAAGTATTTCTCCAATTTATGTTTTATAATAATTATATAACATTCACGTTACCTTATCTTTACTTAGTAAAAAATATATTACATTATGACTTGTTTCATCACTAAAATTCTCTATTGAAATTATGCGTATTCGAAAGGGCCAATAAGATTAAATCTTTTAGTAAGCCTTAATACGTCTTAAAGGCGTATTAGATATAGTTGTTGGTACCGAATGAAACTGTAATAATTAGTAGTGCACATTTCTAATAGAATGTTTATGCATTAACAAAATTGAACGTATAGCAATAAATATAATATATATATACTATATAAAAAATATGAATTAAACTTGTTTACGGGCAGTAGTATTTTTGCATTTTTTCAATAAGAATGACAATAGTTAAAGTGAAATATAGAATAAACAGGTGATAAAGCTTATAAATTTATAAGGTTCTTGTACCTAAGCTAAGTACACTTTACTCTCTGGAGAATCTAAGTGATTTTGTTTTTTAATTATCTTTTTTATTTAAGAATTCAATTGAGATAATTATATTTCTGACTTAATTTCTGACTGAATAATAATTAATTTAAAATTTTGTTTGGCAAGTATTATTGCATTTATATTTTTTATCATTAAATTCTTTACATTGCAGGTTTACCTACCCTAATATAATTTTTATAATTACATTTCCTCTTGGATTGTTCTTAATTGGTATTTTATTGCACAATTGTTATAAAACTAGTATGGCTGAGGGAAAGTTGGTAAACAATTGTGTATTATGGATGCATTGGATTTGGAATCATATCAGAAATTTTGTAACTTTTAAATTCATCACAAAAATTGAAGAGTAAGATTAAAAAATAAAATTTATAGTATATTACTATTCAATAAATTTTATGATTTTTGTAGACCCTTCATTGTATGTTATTACACAATTGAAGATAATATTAATTATATCTCATTAATACCAAATTATATTAATCCTTATCTTTGTACACATATTATTATTGGATTTGCTTCAGTATATAATTGCATGATTGATTTGGGAAATAATTTAAATGTTTATAAAGATGTAGTAAAGTTAAAGAAGATTCATCCTAATTTAAAAGTTATGGTCAGTGTTGATAACAATAATAACTCTGATTTTCAAGACATGGTATTAAATCATAGCCACAGAAAAATGTATGTAAATATTTATATAACAATTTCAACTTTTATATTAATTAAACATTTTTTCTAGATTCATTCAATCAGTTTTAAATGTAACAAAAATATTTAACTTAGATGGATTAGATTTAGATTGGGAATTTCCTGCATGGGCTATTAAACCCAGTCATGAAAAAATTCATTTTGCACAATTGATATATGAATTAAGAAAAGAATTTGATCATAGTGGTCAAAAGTTAATTCTTTCAGCTGCAGTTGCAGCTCCTCGAGCACTTATCGATCAGTGTTATGAAGTTCCAACAATTGCAGAGTAAGTAATATTATAAAATTATAAAATATACATTTAAAAATCATTAAATTTTTTTTAAAGGCATATTGATTTTGTTAATTTGATGTCTTATGATTACCACTTTTATGTATGGTATTATCCAGTTACGGATTTTAATTCTCCATTGTATCCACATTTTTTGGAAACAGGGTATTTAACATCCTTAAATGTCAATTTCTCTGCAAACTATTGGGTGTTGAAGGGAATGCCCCGAAAAAAAATTGTCATTGGAATTCCTTTGTATGGTCATAGTTACAAATTATATAATCCTTCAAATCACAAAATTCAAGCACCAGCTAGTGGTTATGGTGATGTAGGTTATTTAGGCTATGCTTCATATCCACAAGTTTGCCTATTTTTAAAAAATGGAGCAGTAAGAGTTTTTGTTAATGATAGTCATGTACCATATGCATATAAAGATAATGAATGGATTTCGTATGATGATATTTCAAGTATTAGTTCTAAGGTAATTAGTAGTTCTTTTTATTTAAACATAATTTTATGAACAAGTATAAATATCTTCAATTATACATTAAAAATTTTAATATATTTTAGGCAAAATGGATTAAAACAAATGGTTTTAAAGGTGCCATGGTATACTCCTTGAATATGGATGATTGGAATTCTACATGTTCATCAAATTACACATTTCCTTTAACAAATACAATAAAAGATATTTTTATCAAAAAATAAAAATTTTATTTAAAAATTGTAGTCAAGTACTGGTACTGTCAATTGTAAAAAAAATATGGGTATTATTAAATAATCGAATTCTTCGTTGTCCTAAAATTAAATGATTATATAGCTTTATATTTATGTAATTGTTCATTTATTTTACTATACATAGTTGCTTATAGTCATTGCAGGATATTTAATGCAAGATTCCAAAGTGTAGGCTTTTACTTAAAAAGATAATAAACTAATTACAAAAAAATTGATACAATTATAAAAATATTTTCATTTAAAATATATAAGAAATAAATTTGAAAATATGAAAGTGTATAATAAAAACTCAATGAATTTTATCTAATATTCACAATATTTTGTACATTTTTAATATTTTTTTAAATGAAACATTACATAAAATGGATTTCAAAATAGCATAAAATAATTTTATTTCCGTAAAATACTTTTGATAGTTTTGATCTTCTGAAAAATCAGAGTTTTTAGAAAACAGCAAAATTTGTATGAAATTGCAAGCATTTTGGTAACTTAGATGTTAAACTTCAGTGCAACTCACTCTGTGTGTGTGTGTATGTGTATATATATATAAATTTCTAATTTTCCAAACAATTTATTAAAATCTTTGGAGTAAAGTTTCAATTTCTTTTAAGGCCAGTTAGAATCATTGTCTGTATTAGTATTAGTATTTCCCTTACATTTCTTGTAAGTCTACTAACAAGTAAGTTCAATCATATTTTGTACTTAACTGTGTCAGTATACTTTTTACTATACATATTTTAATAATATATTTATATTTTTTCAATTTAATTAATACTGGGATTTTGATTTACATCCCACTGAACTTCAATACTTGGCCACTTTGTTTGTAACACAGTCAACATAGGATTACTATCTAAAATAGACTCAACAACACTCTCTAATAAAATCGCTTGACCTTTATGATATTTTACTTGGTTATTTATATTACTTCTAAGTAAACCATTATAATGATAAAGAATAAAAGTATCTGGATATATTCTAGGTTCTTCTGGGAAGAATTCATACATAAAAGCTGTTATTAATATTATGCCATCGTTATGTCTATCCAACTTTTTTTTCATTATATCAACACTAGAAATATATCTTGTTAATAAAACTATTTTAAACATAATTAAAAAATTTAAAAATTAGATAACTTACTATTCTATATCAGAATACAATCCTAGTTCTGCTAATACATTTTGTAAAGAATCTGTTGGAATAAAATTATTTCCATCATTGTCATACTTTTTGAAAACTCGCTTTGCTTTTTCTGCCGGTGTTTCAGCGCTCACTAATTTTTTTTCTGTAGAAAATAAAACTGTCAAATGTGTTTCGGATCCTAACACCCAAACTGGATTTGAAGGTGATTTAAGAAAAGTACCAACTTCAATATATCTTAGAGTTTCTAATAAAGTTAAAAAACCAACAGCATTTTGTTGGTCAATACCTTTTAATTCTGTAATAATAAAATAATTTCAGTTAAGCTATAAGTATTGAATTTACAGTATTGACAAATAATTATCTCACTGAGTCCTCCAACATCTTGATCATGGTCCCAAACATTACTTACAGCCCGACCACTTAACATTAAATTAATTAAACTTTGACTTCCATACCCAAAAATTGAGTGAATTAAAGGATCAGTTAAATCAGATATCTCTAATCGCATTTGACGTATACCTTTTGTACATATAACTGAGTACAATAATAATAAAACACCAAATTGTTCCTTAAACATACTTATATTTTGAGTTAAAAACTTTTGAACTTCTTCGATACTACTTATTGTATGAATTCTATAATAGAAAATATTAAAATTGTTATCTAAATTTCATCTAAATAATTAATTTAAAATAATTATAATTAAAAATAATTTATACCTTAACCTTGAGTGAAAAACTTGAGACTCTACAACTGGCTTGTCAATTTGCATACTTGTACTTTCTATATTTGCAATTTCCTTTAACACAGAATCAACATCCATTTGTGTATTTTTTATTGGTACTTCTCCATTGACAATACTGTTTGGCATATCAATAAGTAAAATAGAAAATTTTGTATTTGTTGGTTCTACAGCCTGTGCAAGTATCTCTGACATAGCTTTAATAAGCAGTTCATTACATTTTTCAGGCTTAATATCACTCCAAGTATTAATATCACTTTCTGTAAGTATCTGTTTTAAAATAAAAGCTTGAAGTGGAGCTATGACAGCACATGGTCCTCCTTCATCTTGAACAAGAGCTGAATTTTCATCGGCGCTAAAATAGAAACCTGAAAACAAATAAAGATTGACAAGAATTTCAAATAATTGTCAAATTGGCTTTTACCTTGAGCCCAACGTTGAAAAACTTCTTCTTTAACAACTGGACCCCAGAGCATGGTCTTAACTTCGTTAATGAGCTCTTCGTGTCTTCTAGTGGCAAACTCTACAGCCATACTAAAAATATGTTTCACGGGTGATAATAGCGCGCCGTGAAATGTTGCAATAATTCACTTGACGACCGCAATTGCAAATTTCAGTAATCTTTTTAAATAATTATCCATAACTTATATGTATCTAGTAACTGCCAAATGTGGCGCCATTTTCCATTTTAACTTGACAACCAGCCATTGTGCATGTGCACATTCTAAGGTTTATTTTATGCATGATGCAACAGTTCCCTCTAAATTTTTAATGTATCTTCAATTTTCAATTTACATGGTCGGACTAGGTAGTTTTACTTTATTAAATTCAATCTTGTAACGAAAAAGAGTATTATTAAAATAAAAAATTTATAAAAAAACTTAACAATAATCAATATTCTCATATATAATAAATTTAATTAATATTTTTCAACCTTCTTAAAAAATATTAAAATAATATTTTAATTACTTTATCAAAAATATTCTTTTATATTTTTAATACAAAATATTTTAGAATTAAAAGAACATTTCCCTTGCATTAACTTGGTTGATATTTTATAATAATCCATTTGAATTTGATAACTAGTAATAATTTAATTTACTAAGTTTACATATATTTTATATATTTCATTTAATTTAAACTTCATTAATCAATTTCATTTAAACCTTATCTATAAATCATGTTATATGTTTATAATTGTTATCTTAATACGTATTATCACTTTGTTAGTTAAAAAAATATAATTTAATAATAGACATTCATATTCATTTATTTTATTTTTTATAGTCAAAAAATTTCCAAAATATCAATTATATTATGGAAAGCTGTAATGCACACATTTTTCATGATAATTCTAGTCATTGAAATATAGTCGGTCAAACTTTATTTCATAGTTCAAATTCAATCTGTTGAAATATGTTTCAACATCAACCTTATACGAAAAAAATGAATTTTGAAAATATATTTGTTTTACATATTATTAACTATCAATCAAATTGATTATTTATAAGCCTTTAATATAATTATGCCAATTGAAAAAACACTGTTATTAATTCAATTTTACTAATTATGATGTTAAATCATAACTATAATGGCGCTGACTGTATGAAAATAATCACTATTACTGATTTAGTGTTATGGAGATAAAATCATTATCTATATAAATGGAATTGGTAAGAACAGTAAAATACAAAATTTGTTACACTCAATTATAGCAAAAAATTAAAGCTAAAATGCAAATTTATGAGGACTCAATCAGTGAACAAAATAAACTTATGAAAAATGTATAATAAGAATGATTCCAAGTTAATATATAAGCGAATTAAATAATTTAGTAAAAAGTAAAAAACAACAGTTAAGAATCTTGATTTATACTGGACATTTTCTCCAAAATTAACATTGAATTGCTGATCGGACATACGATCATGAAAATTAATTGATGCTTAATTGACTAATGAAATAGTATTTTGAAATAGTAAGTTGCAGAAATATAGTTTATCTGAAAATTAATATTCATTTATATTTCAATTGATATAACCGGATATTTCATTATAAATAACTAATCTTTATGAAAATTAATTTTAAACAAATTGTACATATATATTAGAAATTTTTCGTTTAAAATTTATTTTTATATTTTACTTGAATACGCATATTTATAAATATTAATAAAATTGTTATATTTGAAAAGTGCGCCATTAAGTAGAGTCAATTAAAGGGACAAATATGTTAGATTGTTATTGGGCTACGTTTCTGGACAAATGTTATATTAATAATAAAAATAATTATAGGCATTTAGTGACATCAGCTTACAAAACAGTAAAAGTATTATTTGAAATTACATAGTTGTATTATTCAAAGAACCGGCATTTTGTAATTTTTATTTTATTATACAGTAAATAGAATAATGGAAAATAGTCGAGATAAAGTAAGTTATTGATAAATAACATTCTACTTATCTTTATTTATGTTATCATTATAAAACATTACAGAGTAAACAAAATAACTTAAATGATTCAGAAATCGATGATGAGATTGAACCCAGATTGAAATATGTAAGGATGCGAAATGATCTTGTTAATATTTTACAAAAAGATGCTGCCAGCTGTATAGCTGTTCATCCCAAGGTAAATTTAAATTTTGTTATAAAAATATATTTCTTAAAGGACTTATATTTATAAAATAATTTTTCTTGATTGATACATTATAGTTTTTTAAACTAAGAATTTTCATATTTTATTAGTTTTTGTGTTTGGGTTCTCACTGGGGCACGATTCACATTCTTGATCATCAAGGTAATAGTATTGAGTCCAAAAGTCTTCAGGCACATACAGTAGCTGTCAACCAAATATCCATTGATCAAAATGGAGATTTTATTGCTTCATGTAGTAACGATGGAAGAGTTTTTATATATGGATTATACAGCACTGAAAATAATCATAATATGAGTACAGGACATTGGGTAAAAACTATAGCAATTGATCCAAAATATCATAAAAGTGGAAGTGGTAGAAGATTTATTATAGGTAAATAACATTATTGATATGTAATAAAAGTTTATAAGGAAATTCACATTTGCTTTGTCTTTATAGGAGAAGATAAATTAGTTTTATATGAGAAAACTTTTTTATCAAGAATGAAGCCAACCATTTTATGGGAAGCAGAAGGAGGCGTATATGCTGTAGCATGGGCAGGACAATTTATAGCATGGGCATTTGATTCTAGTGTAAGAATATATGATTTAAATGCTAAATGTTCATTAGGACTTATTAAATGGGCAGGAACAGTTGAGTAAGCATTTATACTATTTAATCTTTAATAATTTTATAATTTATATATACTATTAAATAGCTTTAATAATAAATTTATATTATAGTGCTACTCCTGAACATTATCGATGTAATCTTAGATGGTCGGATGATAGAACATTATTAATTGGATGGGTAGATACAGTAAGAATTTGTCAAATAAAGAAACGTTGTAATCGAGAATTAGTAAATCGTGAATTACCAGAATTTATTGTTGAACCAGGTATTTTTATTATAAAATATTATTATTAATTATTAAAATTAAACTCTTTAGTTAATTCATTTATTTAAATAGTATCTACATTTCAAGTGGATTTTTATATATCTGGTATTGCACCTCTAGAAAATCAATTGATTTTATTAGGCTGTTTAAAAGAATTAACTGAAAATGGTAAAAGTTTGCGACCTACTTTACATGTTATTGAACCAAAATATCAAGATTTTAATACTCTTTGTGCAAATTCTCTGTCCTTAAGAGGGTATGAAGAATATACTTGTAATGATTACCATTTAGATTGTTTAATTGAAGAAAACAGGTACACTAATAATTTCTTGTCAAAAAAATATCAAAAATAACAGTTTTGCGATTTAGTTAATTTTATTAGCTAAGTATTGTTTGATTGTATACATATTTGAATATTATATTGTAATATAAGATTATGATCTAGAATAGATATGATATAAGAATATGAAAAATGCGTTTTATATATAATCTAAAAATCTATTCAATGGATTTATTTATATTTGTTATAGATTTTTTATAGTGAGTCCTAAAGACATTGTTATTGCTAGTTTATATGATGCAGATGATAAAATAGAATGGCTACTGAATCATAAAAAATTTGAAAAAGCTCTAGAAGCCGTAATGCTTAATGGTGGTAAAGATTGTAAACATTCTTTAACAGATGTAGGTCGTGTTTATTTAGATTATTTGCTGAATTGTGAAAAATATGATAAAGCAGGAAAACTGTGTTTAAAAATATTGGGTCAAAACAAAAAACTTTGGGAAGATGAAGTTTATAAGTTCGCTAAAGTTCATCAATTACGTACTATTTCGGCATATCTTCCTAGAGGTGATGTAACACTAGATCCACATATATATGAAATGGTTTTATATGAATATTTAAAATTAGATCCTGATGGTTTCTTACAACTAGTAAAAGAATGGTCACCTAAATTATACACAGTGACTGCTGTTGTAAATATGGTTTTAGGGCATTTTCAAGTCCATAATAATGAATTGCACAATGTACTTCTTGAAGCATTAGCTATATTATATAGTCATGATGGAAAATATGATAAAGCTTTAGCCATGTATTTAAAACTGAGGCACAAGGATGTATTTTTATTAATTCAAAAACATCAACTTTATAATTCATTTTATGATATGATTGAAGGTTTAATGGATTTAGATGCTGATAGAGCTATACAATTTTTTTTGGAAAAAGACAAGGTGCCATCCGAAATTGTTGTTCAAAAATTACAAAATAACCATAGATATTTATATATGGTAAAATTATAAAATTATAAAACTGGTGTATTTATAAAAATATTTACTAATTTTTTATTAATTTTTAATATATTTCAGTATTTAGATGCTTTAGATAAAAAAGATACAAAAGACTCTAAGGGAAAATATCATGGTTTACTCGTGCGTTTATATGCAGATTATTCTAGAGATAAGCTCTTACCACTTTTAAGACGCTCAGATAATTATCCAATTCAGCAAGCCTTAGATATTTGTAGTCAGAAACAGTTTTATTCAGAAATGGTCTACTTACTTGGTAGAATGGGAAATACATCACAAGCATTACAGCTAATGACAAGAGAACTTAACGATATGGAAAGTGCTATTAAATTTTGTCAAGAGCATGATGATGAAGAGTTATGGAATGATTTAATTAATTATTCTTTAAACAAATCCGGTAATTATTTACCTTTAACTTTTTGTAATGTAATATATATGAAATGATAAATCTAATATTGATAATGAATTAATTTAATTAGCAATATTATAATTTCTAGATGCTATTACTTTTCTTCTTCAAAAAATTGGAACGTATGTAGATCCCCAACTAATTGTTCAAAGAATAAAGCCTTCTTTAGAAATTCCTGGATTAAAAAAGGCATTGGTAAAAATGATGTGTGACTATAATCTTCAAATATCAGTCCAAGAAGGTTGTAAAAAAATTTTATCTAGCGACTATTTCAACTTACATGAAAGATTAGTTAAATGTCATCAAAAAGGAATTTTTATTGATGGTAAAAATGTTTGTTCAATTATACTTTTATTTATAATTTTATAATATTAAAAAACAATATTTCTAGATGATCAAATGTGTGGAGCTTGTCATAGAAAAATAATTGTTAGAGGTACGTAGTCACATTTATACCATAAATTATTCTGTATATCTAACGTATACTATTATATAATTTTTAGAATCAAGAAATCTAGTTATTTTTTATTGCAAACATGCATTTCATGAAGAGTGTTTACCAAATTTTCAAATTGTAGTAAGATAATCAATTCAATTTTAATAAAACGTATCCTTTTTATTTTATATTTTATTCTAAATCAGATTTTTTAAATCGTAGTTTTATTGTTTTCAATATTTCTACTTCTTAATAATTATATCTTTTATATTTTTAATTTATAATATGTAGTAATTAAATTATTTATATTAAATTTTTTCTTTTTAAATTAAATATATATATATATTTTTTTTTTTAGATAATATTAAAAGATAAAAATAATTCACTAATATTCGTATAGTACAAAAATATTAAATTTGTTGTAAAGCTTATTTCATGTTTTAATTTTAGGAGAATTGTGTTATATGTAATCCACAAAAGGATATACTACCAGATAGAAAATGATCTAAAAAGTATGTATATTAAAATTAACATTATGTTATTTAAATTATTTTATAATATAAATAAAATATTTGTTTTTATACGATTTCATTTATAAAATTATTATTCCCTTAAATTTGTATTCTAATTATTTGTATAAAGTGTTATTATAAATCAAATATTTAATTTCTTGTAACATTCTTAAATCAATAAATTATTCAATTTTATTAAAAATTCATATACTTGTAATCAATTTAAACTTTTAAAATTAAAAAATAAATATATTTTGAAAAGCATGTTCAAAAAAATTTAACTATATACTTAAAACTAAGTCATAAAGATGTTCTTTTATTAATTCAAAATATTAACTTTATATTTCATTTTAACATATGACCGAAGGTTCATTGGATTTTTTGTTTGTACAGCTATAGAATTTCTTGTTATTATATTATATATTATTAATTAGTACTAATTATTAAAGTAATTTTAATAAAATTTTACATTATGTATTGTTAATTTACATTAGGTATATAACACAGTATATAATTTATTACTATCATAGAAAATATATCACATGATATTCATGCAACTATTTAAAAAATATAAATAAAACTTTAATAAAGAATGTTATTCAATAATTATGTTACAATAAAAAAATTTGTTATTCACTTTAAAATACTCATTAAAATGACATTTTCTTTTAAAATTATTTCAGATAAATAAGCATTTTTTTAATTTTCATAAACTGTCTTTAAATTTATTTTTTGTGATATTAGAAAATTAGATTTTTTTAAATCAATGTTTTAAATACATTAGTAATGTATTAAAACAAATATATTTGACTCAATATTATTAAATATATAAAATTTATTTTATTAATACGTGTATACACTAATAAAAATTTAATTCATTAATTTAGTAGAGAATAATTAGTAGGCTGTATTTATTTGTTTGAAAATTGTATTAGCAGCATAATATATAAATATTCAAACATAGTTTTCAATAATTATATAAATATATCTACTGAAGAAAAATAATTTAACTTGTTTTATATTCCAAAGTTCCTATTATAATTATAATTATGTATCAGAAAAGTTTTTGAATTTAATATGTTTATATATTTATAATTAGGAATTAAGCATTAATATTTTTAATTTGACAGCCTGAATTCAATATAAAATTAAAATCCTTAAAATTATTATAATACATTATTATAATATATATTAAAAATAAATAAAAATAAAAAAAATAAAATAAATAATAAAAATACCAAACAATATTAATTTTGTATTATGCATAATTATAAGATTTATTTAAAAAATTTATATATATATTAAATGTTTATTAATTGATACTACTTAGTTTAATAATATAAATTAATGTGTTAAATATTATTGTTAGATACAATATTATCTAAATAAGAATTTATTTACCTATCATATAAGTTATAAATAAAATAAAAATTAATTTAAAAAAATTATAACAAATTTATTTAAATGTCAAGAATAAATTAAACACTTAGTTTTTATTTATTATTTTCCAAAAATAATTTTACTTAGTAATGTAAAATATATTTTGATATTAATTTTAACGTAATGTGTAAATTACTTAATCTATCTTTACATTATTGTCATTACTAAGGTTTTGAAACTAATTAAAATGAATGTATGTTTGGTTTTTTTTTGTATATGCTTGAATTTGTATACAATAAAGTATATATTATAAGTGTTTATGACTATAATAATATTTTTTCTTTTTTTGATACTATAGTTCTTCAATTGCTTAAGAAAACATCTTTATCTATATAAATATCAATAATAAGCCATAATATATGTGAGAAATTAACACGACAAAATACTAATTAGTTTAATAATTTTCATAAAAATTTAAGATCTACTGTTTATGTTTATGACAAATAAAATATTTTAATCGTAATATTACTCAGGCAACACATTTTTATTATGATGAAAGTAATTCAATTTTTATATTGATCAGCAAATATTAAGACATTACATTATGTTTTATTTATGAATTTATATTATGTAGAAAAACTAATTAAAACTAAATTTTTGGCAGTGTAAAAATATTTTACAATAAATATACTATAAAAAATTATTTGATTATTAACATTTTTTATATTTATAACATATAAACAATAATTACTACACACTCAAATAATTATTTTTTTTAACTTACACAAAAATGCATACTATTAAAAGTAATTTAATAGTTTCAAGTACTATGTATTATAAATCAATATTTTGATAAAATCTTAATTCATGACTTTATTTCACAGAAATTAGAAATTTATAAAATGAAATTACGTAAAAATTGCTATATAATTATAATACGTAGTTAAAAATTCTATTATTCAACATATTTTGAGTAATCTTTTATTTCAAATTATTTAATATATTAGATATTCATACTAAATTTGTTCAGAAACCAGATTAATCTTAAATTGAACTACGTACTTGTATTATACTACATTCTCTGCGAAGGTTTGACCATACAGTACGTCTTACAAATGATGCAGTATGCATTTTTTAAACATGCGCATTGCCAGCTTAAGCTTATTAGCTCTTTGGAATTCGTACAATATGAAATTCTGTAGGATATTCAAGAAATAATATAGGCAATATATATTCCAAGTCCAAAGAACCACAATAATAAAAATAATGCATTACCCGAGAAAAAATTACCAGATACTTTCCATTATAAACAATAAGGAAGTTCATATATTTTGTGTTCTGCCTTTTTAAAATATATTTTCAAAACATTTTACATATATTTGTATATTAAAAAAAAGTAATATATATTATAATATATTTATTATATTAATTCATCTATTATGGTTAATATTTTTATTTTTAATTGAGTAAATTTTAATACTTTTTTATGTACAAATTTCTGTAAACAGTTGTATAATTGCTATATCTGTATGTATACATATAAAATAATTTATATTTTTGTCAATAAAAGTTATTTAATTTAAATTTGTTACTTGATACTAATTATTATATGAATGCTTAAAATGAATAATGAATACTTAAAAATACAAATTAAAATTTATTTATTTTATGTAAATTTAAAAACTAATTTTTTATCTTTTATTAATAATATTTTTTCTTAATTTAATATATTACTATTAATATTTCTATTTTTTCATTCATGTTTTAATCTTTTTCTATTTAAATTTTTTTTTAAATATTAATATTTCTTTATAAAATGTAAACATAATTTTAATCAGTTTTTTTGTAAATCATAAGCATCGAGGACCAATGATAAAGTCCATATTTTAAGATTGTTGTTAATACTAGAATTCTAAAAAACAAATTGAGAAATCACGATTGCAAAACTATATTTAGAGGTTGCATTATTTATGATGCAAAATGAAAACAAAATATAGATTATCATTTATGTTTAATATAAAAATAAAGATGTTAAGATATTCAGTTTCATCAACGAATCTATGAGCTACGTATGAGAAAAAAAGTGAAATTGTTTATTTATACGTAAATGATTCAAAATTTAACAATATAATTCAATTGCATCAGAACTAATTGCTTTGGAATATTTATAGATCGCTAATAATATTGAGCAATAAGTAGTTTACTATATAAACTAACTAAATTTGCGTGCTATTCTATTTAAAGTATGTTTAATATTCTTTGAAAGAAGTACCTCGTGAAACAAGCTATGACACGAAATATATATCGAATATTAATTTCTAAAAATTGATTTAATCATTTATACTTTTTTCTAATATTATTGTGAATGTTTATGTAGAAAAAAGTTTATTAATATAAAATTAATTCAATTATTTACAGTATTAAAAATGATTTTCTTGAAATAGTAAACACATTTATTCTAAAGTTGAATTTATTAATAAAAATTTAAAGAGCAGCAATTAGTATGATTTGTACTCATAGCTACATTCACAAAAGAAACATATCTCAATTATGTTTCTGATTGAACACTATTTTTATTCATTATCATCTAACATAATCCGTTTGTCATATTACCAATTTCATAGTTGATGCTAACTAATGTTATATTAATAAAAGTTGAAAATATTTAGTCAATTTTAGTTATATATATCGTTTCTTATACCTTGACAAATATACCATTTAAAAAATATATGAAAATCTCCGTTTTGGTATAAAGTATAAAGATTTTTGTTTTTTTGTATATAGCTATATATGTACGCTATATATAACTTGTATATAAATTTATTATTATATAAAAATTGCTAATTATTTAAGTGTATTTTAAATACTAAAAAATATATTAAATCATTTAAAAAGTTATTGCTAAAAAATAAATTAATGGAAACAAGTTTTTTCCTATTTATTTTAATATTTTATAATGAAATTTATTAAATCTAAATTGATTTTTTCGTAAATTATATAATAAAACAATTTCTTTATGAAAAATATTGTTCAATACACATTTTGTACTTCGCGCTTTTTAATATAGTATATTATATAGTTATACAATTAAATTGTAAGAGCTTTAATTTTGAATATAAATAATTATGATTACAAATATAACATTACTTAAAGTAAATAAAAACATAAATTTATCAAATACTGTCAAGTCATTATCGTTTTACTTTATTAACACATGGGCATATTTGTTTCGAGGGGTTGAATAATTTCTTTTTATTAATTTCAAAAAATATTTTACATGGTTTAATAGAACAAATTAATAAAAAATTCAAAAGTTATCAATGTTATAAGCCTACATATTTTCATTTTTTTGCCTAAAATTTTTAAAGCGCAAATTAAACTTAAAATGTATCCGATTTGGGCAATGAAAGATATATCTGCCTATACTGTTTTATTATATACTTTCAAGGTTTGGTTGGTTAATGGAGGTAGGTTTTAAATGAAGTATATTTTTAAAATATAAGATAATAAAATTGAATAAAGAAATGGTTGATGAACAAAGGAAACGAATTGAAGATCTTATGACAAAAATCATTGAAGACATAGACATAACATATCTTCGAAATATGCAGGTAATCGGAATTTAGAAGGTTCAATTATCTGACACGTGTTAAATGGCATAAAATTATAATGTTGATTTTGTATATAAAATACAATGTACTATCAGAATGTGAAATTTATTTTTTTGTGTGTATATTATATTAATTTGTTTTTGTAAAAATGCATTTCTAGGGGGATATGCATAGATGTGCAGCAATATGCTGCGATAATAAAACTTATACTGTTCAAAAAGTATACAAGTGTGTAGAAAATTGTAGTGTTTTATTAAATAAAGCACAAAGATATGTTCAAAATGAATTTGATAGAATACAGGTACTTAGTCTTTTACAAAATGAATAAATTTATTTCAAATTAAAAGTAGAGCTTAAAATTTCTATTATTTTATTTTAGAATCGATTACAAAGATGTGTTATGGAATGCAATGATGAAATTAAAGACAAAATAGGATCAAATTTAGCTCAAAGTGATATAGATAAATTTAGTAATGAATTTGAAAAATGTGCAACAACGTGCGTAGATACTTGTTGCAATGTTTTACCAACATTTTTAAATTCAATAAAAAATACTTTAGCTTCTGAAACATTTGATAATTGATTGTTTTATAAAAACTTCAAATAGTTTAAAAATTAAACAATACACATTTTTTAAAGTATAATTGTATAAATAAAGTGTATAATAATTCTTATTTCGTAATGTATGGTCATAATGTTTATTAACTGTTATATTGGACATTTTTGTCAATGTTTCTTTAACATGACAAATTTTATCATTGCAATTAATACAATTTATTTTATTGTTACAATAGCGATGGTTGTTTATTGCACGCATTCCATGTTATAAAACCTTATCATTGCCATTTGATATAAGCAATTTGTTAAAATGCATTGCAAAAAATTGAATTTAAAAATATTTATCATAAATAAATCAATAAAGTAATCTAATATACATATAAATATCAATGATACAATTTCTTTTTATTATTCAAACTTTTGTTAATGTTTAAATTTTTTTTAAAAGTTGAATAATTATTAATACATAGTTATTGTTTTTTTTTTAAATATCCATCTTTTTACTGTGAAACAAATTGATGTAAAAATGATATTGAATAAAGGAAATACCAGTACGTACTTAGTTGTTTATATCTTATTTTTTGCTTAGTATATCATTTTATGACATGAAATTCTCAAACATGACTCATCTTTTAAAATAATAATTTGAAAATGGAATGATACAAGCTTTAATTAAAATTTTTTATTTTAGCAATATTAATATCGAGAAAAATAACTATAGTTTTGTGAATTATACTCGGTTAAAAAATTGGCGTAGATTTTCTTATACTACGAAATAACAATTCTGTATTAATAAATGCTTGTCACGTTTGAGTATTTTTAAGTTTAATAATAAAGAATCAAATCATTAGATACAAAAATGATTTTATTAATCATTATTTACCAATACGATGTTTATTCACGCAATACTTTATATTAAAAAAAAAAAATAATAAATAAAAAAATTTGTGCTTGAAAGTACGCTTAAATTGAAATGACAATTCTTATAATTGTGCCTAATTAATTGCAATTATGATTCATTTTTAAGCTTGGCATTAACATGACTGAAAATTTTAAATAAAATTACATCTTTCAGTTATAATATAGGTTAGCACTGATTGTAAATTTTTAACTCTGATGCAATTGCTTAATTAAATATCATATTTAGTATGAGAATGCAGACAGAACTGTAAAATAAGTTCTAACTGACTCGTTTTACTATTTCTATGATCACAGAGCAAGGCAGATGTTTTAATTTAAAAATGCTTCAAAGCACTAATAATCAATTATGAGAAAGATAAATGCACTACAGATTTGAAATCTTTATGGATAGAGACGATACTACCTAATATATACTAATGAAACAGTGTAACTGCATGGATTTATGTTCAAATAATTAGTCTTACCTTTTATGACATAAGAATTGTTCATGACATAATTGTCTAGTCAGATAAATGAATTTGTATTCTTCTAATGAAATGTGCTTAAACCCTTTCTTTCTTTTATTCTGGGTTTTAACTATTCTTCTAGAGTTTCACTCTTGCAGTTTATTTGAGATTCATTCAATTTAACAAATATAATTATTTATGTATATGAAAACAATTGCAGATCAATAATGAACATAAATTACAGTATTCATCATATTAGTGGAAGTTGTTGCAAACATATTATACCGTGAACAATTCTTCTTTACATTATTTTCAATTAAATAAGGTTTACCTGATCTGATCTGCATAAAAAAATTATTAAACGACTCGAAAGACTACTATAAGAAAAAGGATTTTTGTATCTGAAAAGAAATATTAGTAATTAATCAAATATTTGAAAAGGTATAAATGATGTTTAATCTACAAACGTGTTTGTAGATATTTTATTTTTACTAAATATACTGTATATATTACTGTATATTTATAATAAATAATTTCTTGATAAATGAAGAAAATATTTTTTTAATTGTTTTTTATTCTAGTAACTACGTATTATTTTCTTTATTTGTAATGTAAAATTTTATTTTTGAACTTTAAGAATTATTTATAACTGATTTATTTATTTTACAATAATAAATATCAAATTCACTAATAACAAATTTCATGAAACTCAAAAAATACTAATGAGTTTAATTAAATTGAGTTAAGGGTTATTAATAATAAATCAAAATAAGTATTAAAAAAAATTAATTTATGAAATATTCAGAGCAATTCCCTTTTTTTTAGTCTACCAAGTAACGTTTAAAAAAAATATTAGAACACATTTTCAAATATATTTGCTTATCTGCAGATGACAGGTATTGCTTTCTCTCTCTCTCTCTCTCTCTCTATTTATGTATTTATCAATCCCTAATTTTTGTCTCTTTAAATAATTTCTTTTACTATAAATGATCTCGCCTAAATCGTCAAGAGTGTTCTCTTTATAGTAGCATATCTATTCTCAAATGTTTTTTAATACTGAGCAGTCCATTTTTTATCTTCTCTACAAAAGTGATTCAAGGTTTTTCACAATAAGAAAAATTCGTAGGTGTATAGTCTGGCTGTCAAATAGAAAGAAGACCATGAAACAAATCACAATTATAGAACTATAAAACGGAGGTAGATGTAATAAAGATGTATCCTGAAAAGCAAAAATTAAAATTTGGTTTGAAACATTTTTAAATTTATTCATCGTGGTCTTGTTTCAGTTTAAAGACAGACAGATTGATGTTAATATCAGCCATTAAAAATGGTCTCTCAACAAATATGTAATACCCAACAGGAAAAAAGTATAGACTCTGGAAACAGTCGAATTTTTTGTTCTATTTTGCCTATACGGATCTTAACAACAATGCCTTTGTTTCTTCTTTTGTTCACTCTTCTTAACGTGCGAACTTTTTAGTTCACGATTACGATTTACCAAAATGTGTAACCACCATCTGTTCCTCCTCCTAAGAACGAACCCTTCTTTTGCGAAAGTGCGACACTATGACCTGCCATTGCAGCTAATTGTGCCGCATTTGCAGCTACACCAGGTGGAGGTGGAGGGAGTACTGGTTGTGATATTCCATCAAATCTTGAGCCATCAAAACCATTCTGCTTTAAAGATAAATTGAATCTTAGATTCATTTATTCTTGTATTTATTAAAAATATGTATTAAATTATCTAAATATTTTTAATATAACTTTAATTTACTGTTTTAGATCAATGCATGATTATTTTTCTTATTAAATAAATAGCAAAATATTAAAATATTTTAATATTCAAAACAACTTGTTAAAATTAAATCAACAATTAAACAAAAATAGTCATTTATAAAATTTAAAATTGTTTGCATGTTACCCAATATAATATTTATTGGAAATGAATATATTTTAAAAAACTGAATTAAATTGATACAAAAATGGAACTAAGAAAATATGTAAAAGGCTATGTATAATTTTATGTAATCATTTGATTATAACTATTCAGTTTAAGTTTAAATGATATGTGTTCCATACAATTATTAATAAAATTTCAAAAATCATAGATTGAAACATAACAATAAAAACTTACGGATACCATAATTGTTGGCCTAACTGGAGCAGGTTGCATAGCAGTGGGATAATAGGCTGCAGCTGCTGCTAATGGTGGATAATACTGAAGTGGTCCATAGGCAGTTGGGTAACCAGCCAAGTATCCTCCAGGATAACCTTGACCATACATTGGTTGGTACATCTAAAATTATAGTACAATATAAATTTAAAACTCTTCATAAAAATAAAAAATTTATTTTAATTAGTAATAATTTGTAAATATTTTAATTAACTGCCAATTGACATTATTATATTTTTAATTTTTCATTGCTAACAATATTTTATTAGGGATTTAAGAACAGAAGTTGATTATATACATTAATAAATAATTTATACTTTAATTAATTTTATTATACACACTTACAATAAAAGAATAATCAATAAAATGTAATCACCATTGGATGTGTAAGAGTTTGATCATATGTTGGAGGTGGTGGTCCTTGCGTAGCATAAAGTTGAGGTTGATTTGGAAAAACCCCATACGGTGCAGCTCCTGGAACTGTAAAAATAATCTTAATAAAACCACTTAAGAACATAAAAAGTTAAGATTACATTTGAAAATAAACTTACCACCATATGCAGTTGGTTGTGCCTGAGCTGGAACAAAACCAGTAGGCGGGTGAGGAGCTACTGGATATGCTGCAACATAAATCCATTCAATAAATAAATATTGTTTTTATAATATTTTTTAGTTTGATTTAAGCCAACGGTACACAGTACCAAAAGCCCACAGATATTATATACTTTATATATCCACAATACACTTAGGTGAATGTATAAAGTATTTTTATGCCTTAAACTATTGAACGTGTCCAATAATACACAAGTACATATTTAATCACGGGTTCATATTCTGAAAATAATATTTAAAACTACTTAATTGGATACGATAAAAGTTTGAGGCTGAAAATAATACTCCCACACCCAAGTATATTTTACACATGACATAACACCGTTTTGATCAAAATACTAATTGAAGCTTAAACAATGTTAGTCACTAAATAATGGTGAAATAAAATAACTGAAAGAATAGTATATATTGCCCATTCAACACCGACCGGAGTCTACAATTTGTAGGTAATGAACTTTATTATCTAAACAATTTTCTTGTATTAAAGTCATGTATTATCTCTGTCAGTTTCATTTGCATTCCTTAAATTTTTCATTATTTTACGATCGATATGAGTTGGGCATCTCAGATGTGCTATTTACCTTCGATATATATATAACAGACGCGCGCGCGCGTACACACACACAGTACACACAACACGCGCGCGCATATATATATATATATATATATATATATATAATTGACTATATAAGTTATAAATTAATTTGTAAAAACTTATTATTATTACATTTAAAACTTTCATCAAGAAATCGAATCGAAGGCAAGCACATTTAACGTGATTCAATTCCAGAATAATTTTCTGTTCATTTTAATTATGAAATAAATAAACATAGTTATTTATAAAAATTACTTCAACTCAAAAGATTAAAATTATTCTTATGAATTGATTCTCGCATTTTTCACCTACCTTGAATTCTAAAACTAAGGCATAATACGAAACCGATTCAAAGCAAATAGCGTTACAAGGTAAAAGCCAATACATTCGTCTAAATAGTCAAACCTGAGAGAAAATTTGCAAGAATAAATTTGCTAAAATCCGATTAATAAGTGGATAGATATATTTTATAAGCACTAAATTCTCTAAGGTTTGTTTCAAGTGAAAAAAGAATAATAAAACTGAGCTAAAATAAAGCCATATGTAAAAAATATGATTTCTTTTGAAAAAAAATTATGGTAAAACAAGCTAATTTAATGTATATTAGGTGGTACATTTTTTCAACCAGACGAAAGTTCAATTTTATTCAAGAGATTGACCAAGAAGTTGTGTTCGAGCGGTGAATGTGTAATTTATACAATGAGTAATGTGGTACGATGAATATGTATAATATTTATGTATATATATATCAAGTTCCACACATTCAAAAGGTCGTGACAAGATTCAGCAAACCACAAATTTCTGCAAATATCCAATATATAAAGATCAAACATGATTAAAAGTTCTTGTATTTGCGTAGTATATAATCATTGGTTAGGTAGTTCGTATTATTGACAATTACACGGCTTAAAAAGCATTGCGCAATTTTTATTAAAAAACCATACACATTTTTTGTATTAATGATTGTAAATTTTAGTATAATTTACCAATTAATACAAATTACCCAAATTAAAAAAAAAATTTTTAATTATATACAGTACTGTAGCATTAAAAATACGCAAAATCAATATGTGATTCATTCCGCTTTATTTTAACAAATTATTTTGATTAATAATAGTAAAAAAATGCTTTAGTAAATATTTAAAATTCTAATTGGTAAAATTGTATTTGCGTACAATATTTGCTCAGTACCGCTAATGGACATGTTGTATTCTAACATAAATGTCAGCCCACACCAAATTGTCCATTACTGAGCCCTCATTTACAAACAAGAATCATTATATTATAAATAAATAACATTTTATACTACTTATTACTTATTATTTAGAGTTATTATTCCTAAATTATTATTCTTAATTTGAATAAGAAATGTTGCATTTAAAATAAACTCGATTCTTGTAATGAAATGGTGTTCAATATATAAAATTATGTGTGCCACGGTGCAAACAATCATCGAATTTAATAATGATGAATTATGTAATAAATTACTAATTTTATGTTACTATAAAGTGAAATTTTCCTGCCTTCAAACTGTCCCATAAGCATTCGACTAAGTTTGCTTCCGAGCCAAATATATATAACTGCTTTATGAAACAGAATTCTTAATAAAGATTAAAATTAGTTTTAGTTAAATTATGATGAACTTCACAAGCCTAAGGGTTGTACATTCGTTCGCTTTATTAAAGATGGGAATGTACCGAAATGCTTCAATGAAACACTAGCATGTCTTCAAGTGTATAAAGCGATTAACGAAATTATTTATTTTGAATTTTAAAAAAGAATTTTTTAAATTATAATAAAAATAAATAGTTTTATCGCTTAATTATCACTATAAAGACCCCTTGATAAATATTATAGATTTATTAAATTGTATTTAACGCTGTTATAATTAAGCTCACTATTAACAGTATACACATTTTAATACATGCTTTGTCACGTGCCAAATCAAAAAATAAAAGAAATTTCTATAATCCCGAAATTCGTAAATTGAAAGCAATCAAATAATTGAGAAGAATTTTCTATTCCCTCTTTAGTCTTTACAAATTAATTTAGTAGAAATTTCTCGTTTTTTGTATAAAATAAAATAGATTATAAATTTTTAATAAAAATATATATGCGATCTCTTTTTACAATTAACTTTAAAAGCAAATATTATAGTTTCAAATATAATTGTATTTCATGCATTTGAAAAAGCATGAGATAAAAAGAGACCAACGAAGAAAAATGTAAAAAATTGAATTAACACATAAATTCATGCAAAATAACAATTTTAAAATATACTAAACTAATGCAAACATCTTTATCAATTTCTATACATTATTGTAAATTAATTTCATAACAAACAAAATAATATGCAGTAAAAAAAAATTTATTTTCAATAAAATGGACAAAGATACTTACAATTTTTTAAATATTTTGAATATTATCATGCAAACTAAAATTCTAATTTATCAAGTTAACTAAATTGTATATATATATATATATATATTGTTAACATAAATAAATTTGCTAATAAAATTTTTAAAGGTAATTTCATATTTTTAGTTAACAATAAATATGAATAAGCTTACAAAATAAATATGATATTACATTTTTTATTATAAAAATGTTGCTAAAATAAATATTTTAAAATACTAATTCTATTAGAAAAAACCAATCCATCTACAATTTTTAAAATATATTTTTAAATTTTACATTCATGCAATTTTTAACCACAAGTTTTATCACATTTTTATCTTTTGAAATTTATTAAATATAGATTAAAATAATTTCAAGAGAAACTTATGGCAAATTAAAAAAGCACATGCACTATTGTTAAAAGTGAGCTACCGATTTACTATTGTATAAAAGTATTATAAATACGCTGAGCTTAGATACAGCATTCGTGTCCACCCTGCTGATTTGTCATCAATGCTTATGTACAGTTTTCTAAAATATACAAAAAATTGTATATATTCAATTTAAAATAAATACATAAAAATCTGTACATCAGCAGGACATGGTGGTTGTTAAAAAAGGAACAAATTAAGCAGTCAGCCAATACCACGTTTCAGTACAAAATATCAGTACATCCGTATCAATATCTAATGTTTATATTGATGTGGATATATAAAAGCTGATGTCTCCAATTCAAAAAGTATAGCCTATCATAAGTTTTTTGAGATCTGCAAGCCAAAACTTGTTTTAATTTTTAATGGGAAATTTTATAAAATAATAAACTATTAATTTCAAAATTAAAAATATCTTGTTTTGTATAGATAATTAACATTATTGATCTATTCATATATTTTCAAATCAAATATTTTCATAAAACAAATTTATGTATATATATATTTCCGTTCAATTTGTAATTGGTTCTGCAATTAATTACGTAATTAACATGACTAACAAAGTTTTATAAATTAAATTATGTATTTTTAAAACTTAAATAAAATATTTTATATATATTTTATTACAATTCAATTGATTGCTAAGTGATAAGATTGAATATCGATACTTTTTGCATTTGAAGGCATACAGTGCTTTATTGTTTTTATATATATATATATACTTAATGAAGTGTATATATATATATATGTATTTATAATGGTATAATTAATAATTAAACACGTAGTGATTTAAGGTAATATATAGAGAAGCTGAGGTTAGATACGTGGCTTAGGCTGCGCAAGTTCCAGTCTTCTAGGCTCCACCTACTGACTTGGATCAAATCGTCTTTGATATGTCTGTGGTCCACTGCAAACATATTGACAGCTAGAACTGTAGGAACTACCCTCACATTGTTGACTACTGTCAAATTGACAGTATAATTATAAAAAGACTCAAATTAACAAATTGAATATATAATAATTATTAATCCCCAATCTACATATTACTTAATCTATTTTTATTTATCAAATCTTATATCTAGGTATTGTGTTTTTTAAATTCTTAATTCTACATATATTAAGCAATATTGAGACAGCATGAATTATATTAAATATTTTATTGTATAATTTAAAAATGAGAATAAAATACTGACGCACCTTATTCCTAATAACCATTAAAAATTAATTATATTAAATAAATAATAAAATATTTGGATTAATATTAAAGATAATATTATTGAATTATGTATAAACATTTAAAATTATAATGATATAATTGATGTCAACAAGTTCAAAAAATATTTGTACCAATTTTCAATTGTATAATTTAATAAATATAAATTATTAATGATTTACATTTATATTAAAAATAGAGCAAGTAGATCAATAAATATATTCTTTGTATAAAATCAAATGAATATATTATTTTTAACTTCATTTTATAAATATAAAAAATTCAAATTTTAATAACTCTTTATTCATAATCTTTATTATTCCACAAACTCTATAATATTCATCAAATGGAAAATGATATAATTCTGTGTATATATTGCATTTATGTTAACGAAATTAATTGTATAAATGAATATATAAAAAATCTGTATTCTTTTTATTTTTAGTAATTACTATAATAAAATTAATTTTTGAAACATTGTCTATCAATTTCAGCATCTTGCTACTTAGAAAGTATATATATATATATATATATATATATATATATATATATTTAATATTCACATGCTCATAATACCTTCATGTGAATACAAAGTAATGTAATACAACAACGTTACTCTCACTACATTAGCCTCTCTATACTGTTTCTTAGTTACGTACTAGCTTGTAATTATTTATCTTCATACATTCTATTTTATTTTTTCATCCCTGAAATAGTTTTATATGCGATTATATAAATATAAATTATTTCTTTATCAATTTGTTTCACGTAATAATGCCAGGGTCAAATACATTATTATTACTGTCGTTATGTTAAAAAAAAACGATAATATATATATTACATCAATACATTTACACAACAAAAATACATTTTCATTTTATCTGTTTTAAAAAAATAATACATGTGTAAAATAAAAAAAATACAAAAATTCTGTTATTATGAGCAATGAAAGAAGTATATCTTCCCTTTCTCAGATTCAATCTCTTGCATTAATTTCTTTTTCTCCTTTACTCCATTAGTTTTGGTAAATACCAAACCTTTGCGCGGAGGCCATTTTGTTTATACGCTTAGTCTATGCAGTAGGAAGAAGCAAAGGAACGGAGAGAGGGAAATAGACGATTGTAAAACCGTATTGATTCATGTCAAAAGTGGGAAACTTCTCTATTTTTAAGGATGCAAACATTACACGCTTTCAACTAAATTATAAGAGAAATATTTTTATTTTTAATTACAGATTTTGAAAAATTCCAATTAAGAAAAATAAAAATTGCAATATGTTAAACAAAAGTAAAAATAAAAAAAAGGAAGGAAAGATGGTTGAAACATGAAACCCCAAAGAATTAGTAGGAACAAGATAATAAAGAAAACTAATTATAGTAAGAAAAAATGTAATAAGATGAAAAAAGTGGAATATAATGGAAAGATATAATTAGAATATCTTTTGAAATGAAAACAAGAGTTTTAGCAAGATCATGTAAGAGAAAAAGGGAGGGGTGAGATGAAAAAGAAAGAGAAAACAAGAGACATGAACGGTCCTTAGTTTCATTGCCATACTCCAATAATTATTAGATAAAAAATACAAAATAAAATAATTAAAAACAAATTAATATCTGATATATAATAATCTATTTAAGCTCGGAGGCTTATATATATAAAACATAAAGGAAGGTGGCGAAGCGCCTGTTGTAGGTGTGCTTTTGTCACGTATGGATCTTTCATAATTACCTTTCTTGTCGGTCATTATTGCTTACACAACTCGCTTGAGCTCACGTCACACTGATATTTTTGTCACTTAAAAGATGTAAAGAATCGCACGTCAAATTTCAATAACCAATGTATTATGACACACGCAACACTGCGGTAGTTTCTTTATTTTTTTTTTCTTTACTAGATACAAATTTAAATAATAAAGAGAAATTAAAAGGCACCAGGAAATAATTCAGTCACGGCGGTGATGGCGGCGGCAACAGTAAGAAAATAACAAGAAAGAGAAGCTAGTTAACCAGACAGACAATCGTCGTGCTTACGACTTGATAAATTTCCACTTCCCGTACCCCTGCATATACGCACGCACTTCTTATTTTCGTTATTAAACTTTTGCCCCCTTGTCTTTTTCAATCAGGAAGATATAAAAAAATTTAGGAATAATTTAAAATTGAAAAAATCGTGAAAGTAACAAACGATAACCACACGATCTTTGTCAGGCTGCTACTACACTAACGCTTTCGAAATATTCGGAACTTTCTCACTTGCTATTTTCTATCCCCCCTCCTCTACCCATTAGTGAATGTACGCCAGCGACTGATTCGTCAAAATTACCTTACTCTGTGTCGAAGCAGACTCTGTCATTTTACGTCCACAGACTTCTTTGCTATCCTTTCAAATTTATATTTAACCTTATTTTCCATCGATCTCTTTTTTAAAACGAAAAGAAAATTGGTACAACAATGGAGTTATTCGATTTATCAAAAAATTTCAAATATTTATTGCTTGATTTTCTTAAGAATACAACCAAAATAAAAAGCACTCAAATAAAATTAATGATAATCTAATAATAAATATTAAAGTACACACAAATTTTTTTAAACATTTACAAAAGAAAAACAAGAAAACCAAAGTTTCAACTATTCTGGAATCTGTATCAGATGTAAATGTGAAATTGACGATCCTAACGGTCAGGTTACTTGTACATTACTCTATAAGAAGTACCTAGTTTAATTCTTACGCTTTATTGAGCGTTTGAGCACAGTGTACATCCTCTGCTCTGTTACTCTAATCATGTTATTTCTTTCATTTTTTAATTACTTGCAATTTAAAATTTACTGTATTTTTATTATGTATCCCGTGAAAACGATAGCTTCCATACTTTTAAATATACTTTTCTCAAAAAAGTGATAATTTAAATAAATGACAAAACTTTCTATTGTTTGCTTATATTCTTATATTTATTTATAAAAATATATATAAATGAATAAATAAATAACTATTATAATTTATAAAAATATTTATTTATAAATGTTATAATAATATAAATATATATATATTTAATTTTATTTTTCATATAATTAGATATAATGTGCGTGAACTAAAAAAAAATGTATAATTTTTAGAAATATTATCTTTAAAAAGTTAATTTCATTAGATTATGAATTAACAAACATGCATATAGAATCTTTAATTATATTAATTATACAAAATACGCGTTGGTTTACAATATAAGTTTATTATTTCTCAATTAATTCTTCGTAGAGTTCGTTTTCTTTCAAACTTATTTTATAAGATAATTGCAGTAAAATATTTTTATTTAATATAACAACTTCTATAAATAATTGAATTCGCAACTCAATTGTTACAAAACTATTTGCAATTAAATTTTTAATATCCTAACAATGAATAAATATATGTGATTTAATTTTTAGTTTAGTTAAAATTTTTAATTTAGTTTAATTTTATTCTATAATTTACAATTTTTCGATTTCATATAAATTACATATACAATTTATAAGAAACGATAGAAACTGGCTTATTACTTAATCCCGAACTAGTATACTTATAGCACACGATAAAATGACAATACTGTATTATATAACTAAACATGATATATTAATAATGATAAATTCAAAATAAGTTATAAAATCGTCTAAAAATAATATAGTGTTACAAAATAAAAACTTGAGAAATATTTATTCAACTTAATTTAATAAAAAAAAAACTAAATCTATAATATAAAACTAAATTTAAAAATATTTTCATTAATATGTTTCTGCTTAGAATCCACTTTCTAATTACAATTATATATTATTATATACAATTATATACAAGTATATTGTTAGTTTAATATCATTAATTGCAATAAGAAATGGCAGTATTATATAAAACAATAAGGAACGTAATAAGAAATAATAAAATATAATAAAGTAATTAATTTATTTATATAATATTCTTCATTACCAAAATGAAATAAATATTATAAATAATTTACACTTAGATAATATTAATATTATATTTTATATAAAAAAATTTTCACGAAATATTAGTATTTGACAAGTTTGATAAAAAATATTTCTTAATTAAAATACTTCAATAAAAGTATTACATTACACCTTTTTTACAAATAGATACTTTTTAATCTAAACATACTATACCTACATTATATTTTACTATAATATTATGTTTTGCTGTGCATAATTGTACTTAATTAATATAGTTTATTTAAATTTAATTCGAAATTCTGAATAAATTTTGTATGGTACAGACATCACAGCTAAATATAACATACACCTTAATTACATTATATTTTTAATATTTGTTTAAATACTATACGATAAAAAACAATTATTTAATACATTTATAATTTACCTACATAAATAAAAAAAGTAGTTTTTAATATAAACACAAAAGATATAATACATCTTTGAATTCATACATATACAATACAACTTAATGACAATTTGTACAAAAGATTAAAGGAAACATAAATAATAAATAGAAATATCAAATTTCCAAAAAGTATATAATTACAAAATAAAATTTCCTATTGTATAAATAAAAAATGTTAATTATATACTTTATTAAAAAGAGAAAAAATAAAAAAATTACCGTATATCAGTGATACTTGATGAAAAAATTTTTAAATATATTTTTTTACATAATTTGGACAATAAAATAATTTCTGATTTATATTTTGATGTGCTCTTATACAAGATGTTATACAAGAAATTGAATTCCTGTATTAAATAATAAACTTTTTTTAAATTCTCAATAATCAAGAATAAAAACAAAATAAATGTTAATGTAATAAAAATTATTGAAAAGCATATTTTTATATTCATTCGATATAATTCTTGTTTAATATAATAAATTATTGATTAATTATGATCGGGAAAATAGTAAACATAGTTATATAAATATTAAAAATTTCATTAAATTATAATAATTTATTTATGAACTACAAATCTACAAAAAAGATCAATTACATTATATAAAAAAATAATTATATTCTTAACCATAACGCTTAACATTATTACTTCTAAATAATCATACATAAGAAATGGAACTCAGAACTTGAATTTATTAGGATTCATTTACATTTTTATTGTGACTTTCGAGTATATATTCTATTTTATATCATGTCGTTCACGTCCTCGTGTATTCAAAAGAAAATAAAAGAAAAAAGAATCGTCATTTAAAACAAGGAGCTGTCATTCCAATTGAAAAAAAAATTTCATTTATTAATAAAAAAAATCTCAAATTGTTAATAGCCAATGCTATATCAATAGAACAAATGTTTAAATAAGTACGATCTTATGGGGTTCTTTACATTAAGTATAAATACAATCATGAGATAATAACATATTTTTATGCAACACTGGTATAAATTATATAGTAATAACACTGCATACAAGCACCAAAATATAATAGATATATATAAAATGTCTGATTTGCTTATAACACATTTAGTGATTTGTAAGTACAGTTGTGTTTACATTTAAACTTTATAATTGTAATATTTGACATTAATTATTTGTTGCAAAAATAACCCAAGTACATACCTAATTATATATTAAATGTATTAAATAATATATAAATGTTATAACAACCAAAAGTGGTAAAAAATGACGATTACTTACTAAGGAATTCTGTCTCGTTACAAAGCTTGTTAGATAAAATAGTCTACCATAAGATGCAATTTTTATTATTACTAGAGTAATGATTTTTATTTATTAAAATTGTTTAATATGCATAAATTATGCATGCTTTAAGTAAATCACTTAATCTTATCAATATTTAATTAATATTTAATACTATTATATAAAGAGTATTTAAAACAAGTAAATTTATACAAACTTAAAACTGATTATATTACTTTAATTTATTTTAGTTTTTATTATTCTGATAATATATTTATATATAAATGAATACATGCACACAAAATGTGATTATTCTATGATTTTTTATTCAATGAATAATTATTTAGAAATTTACTCTTTTGTTTAATTTTTTTTTACACAAATTGTAACTATTATGTTTATAGGTATCTTTTTTTCTTAGAAGCCTAACAAATTTGCCACTGGCAGATTTTGTTTTTAAAAGAAATTTATAAATTTCAAATATAAGAATTTTTATAAACTTTAAATAATAAAATATGAGTTAGATATAAATCCTGTGTAGATTGTATTTTTCACATTGAGGTAAACTTACCAATACCTGTTTCTTAAATCAATGATGAAATGGTCCTTCAATTTTTTCGACTTGCCTTATATGGCTTTAATTAATTACGTACAGTTTGTATTTCTTTCTCAGTCATCATAATTAAAGAGCAATAATTAATATAAAAACCGTGGCTGTAGTTTTTTTTATCCTAGCATGATAAATTAATTTCTGTTTCAACAACCCACCACTAATTCGGTTTTGATATTTTTAACTAATTTGTAATTTCAATTATCACATCATAATTCACATTTTTTAATATGAAAATCTGTGTTTTTCCAACTAGCAATTTTTATCTACATGTGGTATCTATGAATCTTTCCTCATCTGACGAGATGTGTCCTTTAATTTTTATGACCCCTACAAAAGAAATTTGTATTGTAATTTGTATTGTATAATTTGTATTGTATTGGAATTGAATTATTTGGGTTCTCATAATACGTTATATAAAGTAATATTTTTTTAAGATTTAAGAGTACATTCTTATTAAAATGTATACCTATCAGAAAAAAGAAAATCATGCGAATTTTTGTACAAAAGTATACAATTTTTTATAACAATTATTCAATTGTATGCACAATATAATAACAATAATCATACTATCTTATTTAAACATCGTGTTATAGTTGAATTTCGAGTGCTCCTCCCTTAATACACGCATTTGAAAGTTGACTATTTCTTCGTTCCATATATATATATATATATATATATATATAATTAATTATCTATACTTTCGTTCATCTCCACGTACTTATATTAATATAGTACCTACTTACACATACGAACATCCCATACACGTGCATATATACAAAACCATATTCATTTATCAAAAATATTAATAATTTATGCAGACAAATTTTAGAAAGAAATAAAGCATAAATAATTAATACAAAGATTTAAGTGTAAAAATTAAAACTAAATTATCAAACCTAACAAATTTCCAATTAACTATTTAAAAGTTTTTTTTTTATTGAAATAATTATACTAATCAAAGATTATAAGTAAATAAGTCGCTTTCAATTAAAAAATCCATGTACAAGTATATCACAGATATCTGTGATATAATGAGGAAAATTAAAATTAAATAACTGAAAAATCTAAGTATTAAAAATAAGTGTAAAATATACTGCTTTTGAAATGCATATGATCACTCGCAATTATTTAAAAATAAGGCACTAAGAATTGCAAAATCAGAATAAAATTCAGTGTAAATTAAGCATTGTATGTAATATAAAATAGGAATGTAAGAGTCAAATAGAAAATAATATTTCTATCATGTGTAAATAGAAAAAATATTGAATAAACTACAATTTTATTTCCTTTGTATGGCTGAACTTGGAGAATTATTTTACAATTTCTGAAAAGAAATACAAAATTGTTGAATAAACATATATCGCTGTATGTGGGTTAGATAACAATCTTTATTGATATTATTAAAAATATACAGAACAATAATTTAAAATGTGATTGCAAACGATAAAAAACAGATATCGCTTTAAATTAAATAAAACATAAAAAATTTATTTCATTGTTTAAAAAATTGTGAATAAAAGTAAAGAAGTTTTTAACAGTTAACTTTCCACATATAGGCATATATGTATTTTTTAAGTTTTTAGAATTTCAATAACTAAATAAGTTATTAAACAATTTTCTTCGTCCCTTGCGTCCTTAGTCTTTCATTATCTGTTTTAAATTCATAAAACAATACGTTTACTTTGCTTTTTTACCTACATTTACCAAAAAATTTACATAATATGAATAACAACAAAGAATAATGTACAAGGTTGCCTCTTTTCTCTGTAGGTAATGTATTAATAGATGTATATTGTAAAGGTAAACAATACGTATTTACATATAGAAACTGTAACTTGATAGTTATCGCTTAGAGATTGGTTAGGAGAGTAAGTATTTACAGTTCTGTATTTAAGAATGTAACGGGTATTATAAAGCCAAGAATCAATATTGAGAAAATTGAGCAGAAGCTTATTGTATTTTGTCTATTTTTGTACGAGAGGAGAAAATTTGAGACACTTGGAACGCTACACGCTTTATAATAAGTTCAGATTTATAACCTTGTAATTTTTAGTTATCAGTGTCAAATTATTCGATTTTTTCGTATTGTAACAAATTATAGTTTTGATACTACATTCATGTAAGATTGTTCAATTTTTTCGTATGTCCATTATCAGAATTAGTTTGTTTAGAATACCATGATTAAGAAATGTTGCTACAGCAACAACAAAATTTTTCGTGAAAATACGACAGATTATATGCTGATTCTATAACGTTTTTTGATCTTTTTTTAATGTTTTTATTATTTTTGAAGCTGCAAAGTAAGTGTTAGGATCAAAGATTAAAGAATTAATGCTATTACTTATATTTGTTATAACAACGCTTCTGAAAAAATTAATTGGAAATAATGGTCAGGTTAACCGAAGAAATGGTTGCCGCTCGGACACGTATGTCCGACTGTACAGCTGTCAAAAAACTTAATTGTTGGTAAGTTCTTTATAAAAATAGAAAATACATTAGTTTCTATTGTTTTATTGCGTATGAAATTCATCATTATTATATATTTTTTATAATTATTGAGGATTATTAATGGACTTATTTTGCTTTGTCCAGGGGTACTGAATTAACGGATGTAAGCATTTTACGTAAAATGAGAAATGTTGAAATATTGTCACTAAGGTAATTATAGAGAAAATAACTATATTTAATACTGCATATATATAATTTTATATATAGCAATAAATATAAATAATAAACTAGGGAATAATTTTATTTATTTTTCTAAATAATAAAGTGTATCACATCCTTTTACTCATGTATTATTTAAGTCTCTTGTTTAATTTTTAATGTTAATGAAATTTTGAATAAAATATTAAATGATCAATACATATAAAATATAAACTGATATTGATAAAATATATCCATTTCTGTATACATATTTATATTTAACTTTTTTTTTTTATAACTCTTATATGTATTTTACTTAAGAAAAATATAATTTGTTAAGACAAATTAACATTCATAAGTAAATATTAAATATATAAATATATTGTATGAATATACAAATACTCTCATGTATTAGAGACATGGATTATAAAATTAAAAAAAATTTATAACTAAAATTTAAAATTTACTTTCATTAGTATTTTTTTTAATTAAAAATTATTTACTATTGTTTTAATTATATTTATAATATATTTTAGTGTAAACAATATCAGCAGTCTTAAAGATTTTCAAAATTGTGTTGATCTTAAAGATTTGTTTGTAAGAAAAAATAACATTAGAGATCTTAATGAGGTTTGTTATCTTCAAGCACTTTCAAAGCTAAGAAATTTATGGCTTGGAGAAAATCCTTGTGCAGAAATTGATGGGTTAAGAATAATTATTAAATTTTAATAATTTTACAACTTTATAATACATTATTTATTTATCTTTTATTTTGTAGATATCGTTTATCAATAATTAAAACATTACCTCATTTAGAAAAATTAGATGATAAAATAGTAACTCCAGAAGAAGTACAAACAGCAATGGTCAGAGGAAGATCTTTAATTCATCCATTAAACTTGATTCATGCTGAATCATCTTTACCATCATCTCCTTGTGGTACTCCAGAAGTACGTTAAATTGTTAAATATGTAGTAAATTTTTATGAATTTTGCTATAAATATTAAATATGCTAGTTATTTGTTTACTTTCTATTACTTCTACTAAAAGAAGATCTGAATTAAATATTGAAAGTTATTAGTAAAATTATATATTTAAATTATATATTTAAAATATTAAATTTCAAAATATAAAGCTGAAAATATTCTTGTATTAGTTTTTGAAGCAATTTTTATATTTTAAAAATATTTTTAATTATAAATATTTGCTTTACAATTCTTTATTAACTATTTAAATATTACTTTAAAAATATATTATGTTATTTAATTTCTTACATAACAATATATAATATTCAGTTGGCATAATTTATCGTATTAATTTATTAATTTATTTATTTATTAATTTCAATATAAATACCAATATAATATATTTACTATATTTAATGTTTCCATTAATATTATTTGGAAGTGATTAATATAAATATATTGTAGGTATTAATTTGTTAAGTTATAATTGTATTGTATTTTTATATTTATATAAAATACAAATATAATTAAATTGTAAAAAATGTAGGTAATAATTTGTTAAGTTTGTCAATAATTTTTGTATATTTCTAACACTAATAAATTTTTATGTCAATTATTTTAATGAAAATAAAGTTTCATCTATTTATAAAATTTATTTAAAAGATTTTTTATAAAGTGAAGTTAGTGCTTTTATAATTTTTATATAGACAATTTAATTTATTTATATAAACTTACAATAATATTATTACACCGTGTTTTATTATCTTCTACTAATTTAATTCAAACCAGATGAATGTTTAACTATAGATATATATTTATGTATATACATTGTAAATATTTGTATTTTATTTGTAGTGTGTTTTCAATTTATTTATTTTATCCTAAATAGATAAAAATAGAAAATATTAACTTTACACATTTTTAAATATATAATGTAGTATATTTAATTTTCTTTTTTATACAAGTTTATAAAACATGTATTATATTCCTATTATGTGAAATTTATAATTTTTAAAATATTTATATATATAAAAAAATTACGACTTATTTAACACGAACTATTAAAAGAAGTAAAAAATTATAAAATTGTTTAGAAAACAATTGTCAAGGCAAAATAAAAAATTAAATACTAAGAGTTTCTTTTAAAAACTATGTAACAAAACGTATGTATATATGTATATAAAATAGAAAGCTTTGATACAAAAATAAAATAATTTTTTTTTCGCTCTATGTACTTAAATTTATAGGAATAATTAAATGTATAAATAACTAGAAAGTAAAGTATAAAACTATAATATTTATCTTTATTTTAAAATATGAATTTATATTCATTAATTGTTTTAATTTATTGCTTGAATAGCTTGAAATTAAAAAATTAATATAAATATATAAATAGACGTAATTATATTTTTTATCTAAAATCTCTGCTATCACAATAAGTGCTTTTTAATAATAGCTCTCCATGACCAAGTACTTTGAAGAACAAGATATTGATCAAAGTCAGAATTACAGTTCATCAGATGAACAGGTAATTTTTATCTATATATATATATATATATATATTTATTTATTTATAAATAATATAGATTAATTTCTTATTTAGAGAAGTTACCAAAACACTAATGCTTTAGATAGTTACCAAGAGACTGATAAAAGGAATGCAAATTATAATACATCATCTGTTCACCACCGTCAGTATCCTTTTAATACTCGTTATTCATATGAGGTGTGTACATTTTATTTACAGTTAAATATTTAAACATTCATAATTTTTGTACCATTTATATGTCATTAGTGCTTAAAATGTAACATGAAATCCCTTTAATATTTATCCTTTAATAGTAAGCCCTTAATATTTATGATTTAACAACAATTTTTCTTATTTTTCATAAATTTTTGTATTTGTATTTATTTCCTTTAATATTAATGGTGAAATGGACATACTAAATAATTTTTTGATCACTAATTATTCAGAATTCATTGTGGCTCTTGATTTTTTTTTAAATTTAATAGATAAAAGCTATTGAATAACCTATTTATTAACACTGGTATAAGGGTCGTTCAAAACGATGAATTGGGAGCTGAAAAAATGAAATAATATACAAAGAATATGTGGAAAATAATGTTTAATGATGGGTCTGATGCTACAAATTGTGAATATTCTATATCCGGATCAATGCAGTTTGTTTCACTGGCATCGGTTCTTCCAATTTGATGGGATGTTAATGGCACAATAACAAATTTCAATGATCTACACATGCATTATCCATAACTACGTTTGCCTCTCATCGGTAAGGTGATGATTTCTGGGAGAGGGAAATGTAAATGTCATGCAGTTAATAAAAAGTACTGGATCGGCATCTATGGTTATTATACTGGGTTAAAATAAATAAATAACTTAATTGGGTTTGAAATTTATATAACATAATATATATTCAATACATATTTAAATTATTTTGATCACAATTTTCTTATTCATAACATTTTTATTCTTTTTTTATAGTTACATAAATTAATTTTTGAATATTTTAGAATTCTAATGATAAAACAGCCTTACGACATAATGGTGATTATGATAATTTAAATCAAAGAATGTATACACCAATTTCACCACGCACACATAATCCGCTACTAGAATATAATGATGAAAGGGGAATTGAATATGATGATTCTCAAAGATCAATGTCAGAACAATCAAAGAGAGAAGTAATAAATCAAAATATAGATAGAGTAAGATTATTTAATGATTTTAAAATAATGTATAACTTTATAAAAATATGATTATAATATAATAGGATACGAAATAAAATATTATTTTTAAAAGTTATTTTAAAAGTTTAAAGAAGTACTAAAAAATATGAAATATACTTTAATTTTACATACATATAGATCTCAAATCTAATTTTTTTAATAAAAATAAAAATCCAATTTTAATTAAATTTTCAGTCACTTAATTTGTTACAAGTAAGTAATGAATGATAAATAGATAGAAGTTTCATATTTTTAATTATAAAAGTTTGTTTTTTTTAGATATTAAATACAATATTTGTTTAATTAATTATTAAAATCAATAAAGATATTTAGTAATATATTTTTTTAATTAATATAATATAATATAATAAATTTTGTCAATAATTGATCATATTTATTGAAAAGGAAGATCTTAATCAAACTTCTGATTGGACAAGGTGCATTGAGAAACATAAACGCAGATCACAATTTCAGTTTCAAAAAAGACCAGTAACAAGGGTAAGTTTGCTACAACTAATCTATATTACGTAAAATTAACAATTCTTTTTTTTATAATTGTATCCACTGCTATGAACAAATTATATATTTATTTATTTTAAGTAGAGTAATTTATTGTTTAGAACATTTCCATATTTCAGTCGATAATATATATATGTAAATTATACTATTAAAATATTTCAATTTTAATACAAATATTTTATGCATTAATCATTTATAATAGTAAATTAAGATACATATTGTGTTAATTGTAGCTGAAAATAGCTATTTATTACAATATTTTAATAACGAAAATTGATAAATTAGATTTATTTTGAAGTTTCTAAAATAGTTTAACTCGTTTAACTCAAAGAATTATAAGTTCAATTAGAAATATCTAAACTAAAAATGATTTTTAAGATATTTTATTTTTTTAAGCATTTCAGAGATAGTTAGATCATATTTCATTATTTTTAAATAGAATATCAAACTGAAAGAACACTTGAATGTAAACAAATTTTTGCAGTTATAAAGAAACATATATTATATAGTGTTCAAATTTATATATATAATTTTTTTCCAAATTTATGCATTTAATTGCATTTAATATAAATGGGTAATAGAAAAATAATACTAAAAACAAAATAATATATTCTTATAATGTGAGTACAATTTATATATACAACAGATTACATTTTATTTTATGTATTTTAATAATAAATAAAAAATAAAATTATTATTAAAAGTTTTTATACTGTGACCCAATGGAATTAATTAAAAATGCATAAATACATTTAAATTTATTATATGTAATAATAATAATTTCTATACCTCGATGAGAATAATTATTAATAATGAATTTGAAGAAATAGTGTAATTCATAAGAACATTGATTGTTAGAAAAGACATAAAAAATGTATTAAATATTAGTAAAAATAAGTAAGTTAAATATAAATAAAAATATTGTTCTTACATGACAATAAAATAAACCTAAAATTGCTCAAAACTAAACTAAAAAGAGAAAAAAAGATACCATCGTAAAAGTTAATAGTGAGTGCAATTATATGCAAGACTAGTTTATAAGATATAAGAAGTGTAAATAAATGTAAATTTCATCCTAATAGTTTACCATCATAATTTTGCACTACAAAATAGCATGTGTAAATAAATTTATATGCATGTGTGAAACGCGTGACTTGTGTTACTATTTCACCAACAATGATTGTGCGATGGCACAAATTGTATAGATTAATTAACATAATAATTGAATTATTTTTATGTATGTTTCTGAAGTACTTGATAAAATATGAAAAATAATAAAAGGATAAAGCAAAATTACATCTCATGTGAATATAATTAAACCAACTATCAGTTACTTGCTCAAAAGACAGAAAATAGTTTTAAAGGCTAAGTCTGGTTTCTTCAGTTTAGTTAACCAAGAACAAAAACTATACTAATTGCTTAAATAGAAGCAATTTTATAGGCTTAGGATGAAAGTACGTACAAGAACTTAAAAGCTACGTGCAATGAATGAATATACTGCTTTTGGCGACATTAATACATTGGAGCTAAATTAATTTTTGTGAATAGAGTTATAAACTAATAGATGAATACTATGTATATTTTTTATACGTTGTTTCAATATTTATTTTTAAAAATTCAAAAAATATCGAAAACATTTTCGATTAATTACCTTAACATATATAGTACAATGCTACATACCTAACCACTGCTATCAAGTCCACTAATCGAGTACAATATTAGTTTCAAAGATGCCAACATGGATTTCTAATAATTTGTGTAACAGCATGGATTTTTTTAATACAATTACTTTATTTAGTAAGGGATGTTGAGCAATCATCTACAAAATAAATAAATATTTTTAACAATTATTTGTTTTTAGAGTTTCTTTGCATTTTTAATATCTATATGCATCATTAAATGATAGATAATTTTTAAAACCTGAGGTTACTAGGTGTGGCTATATATTATCCAGTATGTTACTATATAGTATGTGCATGTGTCTGATTTATAATTAGCCGACTGATTATAATCTGAAATTGCTTATAAAGTGTAGCTATTTTGCTTGTAATCATGGATTGTATATTATTACTATTCATATGTTAATCGTAGGTGAGTGTTACATCAGGACTCAGTAAATTTCAAACTCTTATAAATGAGACTAAGTCAAAATTAAAAATAGAATGCTGAATAAGAGATCCACTAGCTTAACTAATGAAGAGATTGGTTACTGCTCCTTTAATACTCGCCTCTTTTAAAGCTTCACAAATATCTTTGCAGTGATATAATTATAATGAAATGCGGAGTCATAACATTGAGTATGAAACTTAAAAGAAGAATATCGCTTGCGCAAAGAGAGAAAATGAGATAATTCGTTGTGAAGAAAGAAATAATGTTCGCGTTATAGAATATATTGAGATAGTAATAAATAATGTAAAGAAATGGGTGCTTTGTAGCGAGTCTAACATAGCATAAATACACACATTACTAGTCTCGTGATATACACACATACACGCATTTTATGACAATAGAGTGTAATACAATTCTAAATTGGGCATACTTATTAAAAATAGATAATGTATAATGTAAAATAAATGAAATATTATAAAAAAGTCTTATGTATAATTAAGTTTGATCTAACATCCTTACTTCTCGATCGAACGCATTATGAACATAAAAACATCGAACTTCTCCATCACAAAATGCAATTAATAATTTAGTCACACATGAATTATTTCTCGAAACTTGGTTTGGACATTGAACCTTTATGCCTAATAACAGGGACAATTATTCAGAAATGTAATAAATCTATTCTAATACAGGATGGAGAAATTATAACTAATTTAATCTTGTTTTAAAACCATGACTATTATCTTGCACTCACTTATGTGAAATTCTTTTACCAATGTACGGATTTTGTTATTACATTAAAATATACTATAAATAACAAATTTTGTGTACATTTGTTGAATACTGGCAATAAGTCGAATTTCTTTCGCAAGAATATTTTCTTTTTGAAAACTTTTGAAACCACTATTATAAGAGATGTTAAATATTAACACATAAAAAGTAATTAAAAAAATAATAGATATATATATATATATATATATATATATATATATTTAACAATATAATAATATAATACTAAGGTACTAGCTTGTAGATTATATTATTGACATAAATCTTGATAAAAATAAAATATATAAAATAATATCATTAAAGTTATAATATTCTAAGTTGCACGGTGATACAATAGTGATCCATAGTAAAATACGAATTGTTTATTTATTATGAAGTTTTTGACATTGCCATCCTAAATGCATGTATAAATACGTAAGTATTATAAATTATTAATTTATAGTATTAATATTTGCATAACTGTATTTAACGAATAAATTTACTTGTTACAGTTCTTTCACGGGCTCCACCACAAACAATACTTATTCATATGATGCATAATGATAATAAATTAAATATTGTAGTAAATATAATATTTTATATTGGTGCTATATGTTATTATTCCGTATGTATGGATTTTATAATTAATAATGGTATTTTGAGAAATAAATTATGTAAATAGAGAGGTACAAAAATAAAAAGAATGAATTGATTCGTACGGTGATTAGAAAAGTATTCATTTTTTCATGATGCTTTGAATTTGGAATATTTCTTTTATATTTAGCCTTATGTAACGTTTATATTTTAGTTTTTAAAATGTGTATTAAAACTGTATCCAGTATCTGCAGCTTGCGTGTAAAATTTGTAACTTCATTTTTGTAATTCCTATCTACCTTATTATATTAACCACTGTTACTACTCATTTTGTATTAGTTTAATAAATAAGTAATTTTTAATGTTTTCTTCGCTATCTAGTATTATTCTTAATCCTTTAGTTCCCGTTTTCCTTACCTGGTTAAAGTCTTCAAAAATTGAGAAACTAGAGAATTATGAAAGAAATTTTTAAAATAATATTTTTATTATAAAAGTCAATTAATTTTAATTTAAAAGAAAGCTGCAGTGTAAATATTTTTTCTAAATTGTACCATATCTAATTTTCTTACAAAATTTTAGTTTTTTCTTGCATTTATTTCGGTACAGGAATGCAAAAGATAATTTACTTATAATTATTAAATTAAAATAAATTAATAATATATAATAAATGAATAAGTTAAAATTAATTTCTTTATTTTTTATTTCTTTATGTTAATAACATTCGGAATTATATTTAATACACTTATAGTCTGACCAAATATAAATGATCAGAATAGTAATAACTATATTCATATTTAATTAGCTATTAATAAAATAATATTTAGTTATTTCAAATATTAATATTTCAAAGTATATGAAAATAATAACAAAGATATTTATAAAAATAATTGAATCATAATTAAAATGATTTAAATATTGATTTTCATGTGAGGAACTCTTATTACGGTGTTCAGGCAAAATAAATAATATCGGGTTTGTAGAGATCCAAAATTAGTGGAAATTATTCATATATCAAATATTCTTAGTAAAGTGATATATTAAGAAAAGGTGAACAATGTTGCAAAATAAAAGAGATAAATAGCAGTAAACATGTGTTATAAATGGCATAAAAAATAATGCTGCCAAATCAGCAACATTGATATGTCACTTTAAAAATTGGTAAAAATGGAATAAAATAACATTACTATATAGAAAAAATTAATAAATACGAAATAAAACATAAAGGAAGAGTAAGATTGTGGAGTCAATTATATACTTTAAAATTTATCAGCGTGTCAAAATATAAAGCACGTATCAACTTCCAAAAATCTTGCGTTAAATTAGAATTATTCAAATAAAAATAGTAATGTTCGAAAAAAAAATTATATGTAATTTTTTTATAAAATTTGTTTATAAATGAGCAATGATGTTAGTTGTGTTCTTTTAAACATTGTGATATGAAATCACATCAAGGTATTTCAAGTTCAAAGAGAGGGTTATATAAGTCAGAAACACTTGAATATACTACGTACAAAAAAGTTTAACAAATCTAAAATATAAAACACCTTAATTATAAACTTCAAAACAGAACAGCTCATAATAAATTTAAAAATGAAAAACATTTCTGAACTTTAATTAATTTATATATTTGTAGAACGCATTAACGTGCCTGGACAGGCATCGATTAGAGTTGAGTTTGAGGAGACATTGAACAGAATATTAATGAAGTACAAAAGACAGTGTCAGTAATAACATTATACACTACCATATAATCATAAATTGTATGATTTATAAGTTTTTAAAAGAGGTGATAGATATAGGAAGGTCATAATAGTCACTAATAAGAACGTTACTTTAGAGATAGTGGTGATCACGATGCACCCGCCAAAAATTAATTAAGTTATTTTGCAAATATATTAACTATTTCTTATTTTTAATACTGTAACAAAAACTAAATTCAATTACGATTTTAATAAGTATTTTTATTAATATATTAATTAAAAAAAGAAAAAATTACTTTAGGTCCCTTTACTTTTATTTTCACCTGTGTAATACTTATAAAAATTTAGTTAAAATAAAAATAAATAATGGTCTTATAAGCTGTCTTGAATATTATATATTTTTAACTTCGAAGCTTCACAATGAATACAAAAAACGTTTTTACGATACATCCGTAAATAAAAATTTGAAATCATTTTTTAATATGTTTCTAAATGATAATGAAGGTACGAAAATGAATAATAAATACATCTACACATTACAAAAATAATAATACGTTTGAATATTTTATTAGTAAAGACTATATATTAAGTAAAGTTAAAAGTTCTAATGATAAAGTCTATTTAATATTCCGTTTTGTCGATGTTGCAGAATTCGAACATTCTATCAGCTGTATTGTGTCTCGTCAAGGAGTTGGATTACCCAAGTTTGGAGGTGGTTGAAATGGCAGTAAAAAGTCGCATTGACGAGTTGGAAGAATGATATTTTTTATACCGTTCTCAGTTATGTAGGGGGCGGTACTCGCAAATAGCATATTACATGTTAATATAATTAATGCATGCATTCCAAATCTAAACGAGCTGCATATTTATCATTCCGTCTACAACTTTACTACCTTTCATAGAAAGTTTATCACTAACTCAGATTATAACTCAGGCTCAGGCTTTGTGGAGATGCGCCAAACTATTAGCAACAACAGCGTGCTACAGGATTTTTTGTCCCTATTCACAACACAAGGTACAGCCGTGATATATACAATCAGAAAAATGAACCAATTAAATAAAATAAAAAATAAAGAGAACAAAAGATATTAGCATATAAATACTTACTGATGAACTGAATTAATAAATGAGAATCAAAATATTATTCAGTTGAAGGTGCAATAAAAATAATTAAGAAAATGTGGAAAACAAAATTAAAATTAAATTTCATTACTCGTACTTTTCAAGATTTATCATTAAAATTTATTTTGTGTTATAGAAATATTGACCTAGTTAAATTAAAGGATAAATTTATTATTGTTGGAACACAGTGCTGATTGTCACTTGCAATACTCTAGTTCTATCCACAAATATTCTTGCCAGTTCCAAATAATATAATAGTTGGTTTTTGGAATATGTACATAGTAATTAATATTATTTACACAGAGAGTTAATTTGATTTAATATATTATAATTATAATTATAATTATATATATATATATATATATATACACATATATTAATATAAACTTATATTTGCACGTCTACATAGACCCATGTGGAACGAATTAATGTATTCGAAATATATTACAAAACTATTAAATAAAAAAATATAAATGTTATATTAATATATTAAAATTAATAAAAATAAATTAACTTAATAAAATGATATTACGTTTTGGATGGCCTATATTCAATGTTTACTTGAATTTTATTGTTTCATTTATAACATTAATTTTATATGGTAAATTTAAAATGCATTATACAATATACAATTATAATTATGTATTTACTAAGTTTTAATTTAAAAACATTTGAATTGATTATTTTTTAAATTGACCTTACAGTACTACTTAAATTACAGATAATTAAAGGTTGATTCTATTACTCTTATAATAAATTAAGTAGTTGTTAAAAATCACAGAACTTATTATATCTACATATATTATATATTTTATTATAAAATAATAAATTCAATATATCTTATTATCAAAATTTAATTAAACACAAATAAAATGTATACAGTTCTTTACTACTGTAAAGAAAGTAGTGAGAATTTTTAATAAATTTTCAATAAAATTATTCATATAGAAACTGATACAAATCACTGTAAAAAATTAATTTTTATTACTACGAAACATCAATTATAAGCTTTTCAAATATATATTTCCATCTTTTTAAGTAATTTTGTTTTTTTTTTAATTTCTTCTAGGTCTTAAAACATATTTTTAATCTTAAATTTATAGTAATAAAATGTAAAAAAACTTAATATTCATGTATATTTAGTTTAATTATGTTCTCTTAATTTTAATATTATTTTAATTTTAATTTAAAATTTATTTAAAAGTAAGTGTATTTTTATAATATTAAAGTAATTGAAAAGAATTCAATTATAATAAAATATCAAGACTAATAATTGTATTGTTTTAAAGTAAAAATAGTATAAATGATAAATGATAGCTTAAAAAATTAATTCTAGTTTAAATTTAATTTACACTGTAAATTGTGATTAAAATCATTACTTTATAACCATTTATTATAATTATAAATACATTTTCGAAAAATTTATGTTTTAAATACATAAAATAAAAAATATTCTAAAATTTTCTAAAAATTTCAACTATTTGAAATTTAATTTGCTAAATTAAATTGTTGACTATTTTATTTCAACAATCTAACAAAGTAGAAGAATTGATTAATATTTAGAACCTTGAATTAATACAAAGGTAGTCATTTAATAAAAATACATATAAATTATTGGTTTATAAATACTTAATACTGATTTTCAAAAAAGAACAGGATAATTGTAATTGTCCTAAAAAGTCAATTTACAATTATCTGGTTTTGTCATATCCTGGAAACATTGAAAGTAAAATTGATGATAGTTTTTCATTAACTAACATTTTGTAACTTTTATCTAAAGATGTACGACACATTGGACATGCGTAAGTATTGACTTCAAAACTTCGCTTTAAACAAGCTATGCATATATTATGTGCACATGGAGTTGTAACAGGTTTAAATACTAAATCTTGACAGACAATACAAGAAAATTCCATAGAAACTTTTTCAAAATATGCTTGTTTGCCTTGAGATTTAAAGTCATTACACTGACTCCATAATTTAGCATTTGATGAATCTTGTATTATCAAATTTGTAATTTCATTGCTTACTTTAAAAGCAGTTTTTTGCTTTTTTTGTGTAGAAACATAAGATACAGAATTAACGTTGTCATCAAATTTGCGCTTTGATCTTGCTTTTTTTTCTTGAGCTTCTTGGTAACCTTCGGGATAAATCATTTCCAAACCAAACTGAGCAATTCTAATTTTACCTAGCTTTGTCCATGGAGCCGATATAGGATCATCCCTTCTTAATAAGTAACGCCAGACTCTAAAACCACTTTGACCTTTTTCAGGCCAATATTTTACTACTTTATAAATACCATCATATCTATTTCCATCTTCTGGAGCATATTTACTATGTTTAGCAAGTTTAAAATTTCGTACAACACGGATTGGTAAACCTGCTTTCCAATTAATTGCTTCAGCTCCTTCGATTACATTCACTCGAGCATTACAATTTAAAGCTAGAGCCCTATTCATTAAAGTTAATTGTTGATCACAACTTTGTTTTGCAGTTCTTTTATTTCCAGACAAATCTCTTCCACCAGAACCAGTATATAAAAATTCTTCACCGTTATCAAGATCATCTTCATAACCTCCAGATAAAACAATTGAATAAGCACAGTCATCTGCACGTCCATGAATTCCTGCAACATGAGGTCTATGAACACCAGCTTCTGATACTTGAACTCTAAATTTCCATAAAGTACCAACTTCTATTCCAGGAATGGGACCTCTATGACTAAGAGGAACAATTGTACAAATTTTTGTTCTACCAACACAAGCCATACCTTTTCCCCAATCTCTGTTACTACCAACCACATTGCTATGCTTTTTTTTCGGTATGATTTTTTCACCAAATTTTACAATTTCATTAGCATTTACTTTACAATCTGGACAATACCAATCATCATTGGTTGGCAGATCCATTAAAGGAGGATTTAAACAAGCCATATGATATGCATCATCACATTCATCACAAAGCAAGGTAAGATGAGGATCATTTTTTTTGCCACAAATTTTACAACTACATTCTCGACACTTTTTTTTTGGATTATCAAGACAATTGGAGCATTTGAAAGGTATTTTCCTTCGTGTTGTAGGTATATGTGAAGTAATGAAATCATCATCTCTTTCCATAAGTAAAACTGGCTTTTCAATCATATATATATCAAATTTTGTATTAACTGTACAGTTTTCAACAGATCGAGTGCCATCCCCAATATGTACAGTACCAATTAATTCTTTAAAAGTTTCATTTGTTTTTAATATTGTAAAATCATACCAATTACCTATTTCACTTGAATTTTCTAAATTATAATTTACCATTACTTTTTTACCAACATCCAAATGATTGAAATTTAAAATTCTCCATGCTCTAGGTCTTATAGAAGTTGCATCAACATCGAAAGGCTCATCGTCTTTTGAATCAGGTAAATCCCATTTAACTTTATACATTAATTTTCCAAATTTTGTAAATATTTTAAGGATCAAAGCTTCAAACCAAGCTCCAAGAGCATTATCGGTACAGTCAATGGCATCTCCTACTTTATAATATTTACATTTTACATTTATTTCATCTTTAGTCTTTTCTACCATTGGTTCATCATTTCTCATTTCTTTTCCTTTATTTTTTATAATTAGGTCCTCTTGTTTTGATTTTATCATTACCTATATCAAAGAATTTTTTATTAAATAAATATATAAAACTTAATAAATTAATTTTTATAAAATTATTACTTATTTAACACTTGTAGAATTCTATATTATAAAATAAGTTTAATATATCAAATTAATGAGTTAAATCTTGATTCAATTATCAAATACATACTTTTAATAACATTTATTTGCAAATATCAATTACTTGATTAACAATTGTTCGATTTTATTATTAAATATTAGAAATTTATATCAATATTATTGTATAATAATCTAAATAAGGATTTTATAACATTCAAATTATTAATAAAATTTGGAATTTTCTACAAATTACTGAATAGATTATAAATGCATAAATAAATAACAATACATATTTCAAATTTTAAAGCATATAAACAAATACGTTATAATTAATATTTGAAATAATAAGAAAGATGGTATAAATAGATTAACAATATTTCTTAAATATTATTTTCATATTAATTTTTTAATTACTCAAATACTAAAACTTACCTGTATAACATTATTTATATTAATACTATAATCGTATAAAGTGCAGTCATCTTCTAGATGTTTTCCACAAAAAAACAAACCTTGTTGCGCCCATTTTATTCCAAATTCTTGCTCAATATCGTTTTTTAAATCCTTAATTTTTGTTAATTTTGAAACATTAAGTACCGTCTTTTTTTTACCATCGATGGTCACGACTTGTACATACATTTTTCTTCAATTTACGATAATTGATAATGTGATCAAAACAATTATGAGACAGATTATAGAAATAAAATACTGTACAATATTAAAGACATCGGCCTGTGAAATTACCGTTGAATATGAAGTTGTATTAATATTTGGCGGTAAAGTAAAGGAAAAAAAATCAAAAGAAAAGTTAGAACTGGAACATAGTTCAAAATAATTTGAAGCATGCTAGAAGATATCAATGCTTATTGGTTCTTTTAAATGCGCACAATTTTAATATTGAATTCTACAAAGTGTATCAATAAGTTTACGTAATCTTTGTTTATTACTTTATAAAAAACAATATTTCCGTATTTCTTCAATTTAATAAAATACTGTAATTTAATAAAATATTGTATTTAAAATTTATAAAAATAATTATTTTAATAATTATATTTTAAGAATATGCATTTTAATGTAAAACTAATGTTGAATAAAATTATCAAATATGTTGTTATTGTTAAAAACAGATTATATATTATTATATAAATATAAATATATTAATTATTTTTTATTACATTTTCTACATTATTTTTAGATATACATTACATTAACATTGTTACGTATGCTGTTTAATATTGCAATAGTACATACAAAAAACAATTCTTTTCAAAGAAGCAATTTAGTACTATGACTTACTTTTTCAAAATAAAATACAATGAGTAATAATACCGCACTTATGCTTTTAAAGTTTAAATTTTATATCGCACTTTCTATTTAGAATATTAAAGTTTACTTTATTGTATATAACTTAACTGGATACATTTACTATATTCGCTACAATCAACGCGATAACAGTGTAGTAAATTTGGTCTTTGTTTTAAGTTTGTATTATTCATCGATCGTTTCTATCTCATTAGAAAATAGACTATCATATACATGCCATGAATATAACGTCATATTAAGTTCGTTAAAAATGTAAAAAAAATTTAACTTGAATATTAAAAAATATGAATTATATTATTTATATGATGCATATTCTGCTAAGTATTTCTAATATGCATATTTCTAACTAAAAGAATTCAGTATATATAGTATATATATTCAGTATAATGAAAATTCACTAAACATTTTTTGAACTTATGAAATAAATGCATATTTGGATAAGAATATGGTGAAAGTTTTATATCACAAACAAAATTTTTACTACGGCTATTGACTAGTAAACAAATAAGTGTATATTTTAGAATATATTTAACAAATTTTATAGACTATTTAATTAATTGATATTTTATTAGAAAAAATTAATTAAGTAAATTTTAGTGATTTATTACAATATGTTCTAATTTAAAATAATTTCAAAAATATAGTATAAATCATTTTTTGTATATAATGACTAATATCAACTGTGCAATAGACGTAAATTAATGTATTCTTCTATAAAAATGTATGATCATATTTAATTATAACACACTATTTGAATTTTAATATTTACTTAAATTTTTATTTAAAAATGAAAATTTAATAAGTAATAATAGAAGTAATTCAATATAGAATGGCATATTAATAATAAAATGAAATTATATGCTTTTTTATTGTATTATTTTAAATAACTATAGCTATATAAATTCATTTGAGTATAAATTTGAACTCTTTTGTAATAAATATATATTTCGAATAAATAATTTTACATATTTTAAATTATATTTATGAATTATTTAAGAATAAATACAATTATTTGTTTCTTATAGCTACAATAATTTAAGCACATTGTTCTATATTGAATAGTTAAATCAATTAATTATAAAATAATATAAATATATATATTTTCAGTGTATAAAGCCTGCGTGAAAAGACATTTTTTTAATATTAAATTAACATATTTTATTCAATATTTGTATAACTGTTATAATATTTATAAAAATGTATGGCATACTGTTTTGATACATTTTATAACATACCATATTAAAAAATAAATAGATAACATTTTTTATTGAAAAATATGAGCGAAATGTCATTGTATCAAATCATTCGAGGGTTGTTTGATTTATCAAAATTACATGCACTTACAAAAACCAATCCAGTAACAGTTTTCCTGCGCATGCGTTTATAATGCGTTTAAAATAGTTTCTGTTGTATGATACATGTAGTATTGTTGAGTCAGATTTATATACTTGCATCAGACGATCCATTAAATACCGTACTATTTAAAGTTCATCTCTCAGTCATACGTTTGCTGTAAGACGTAATTCATTTTCACCTAATCGTCATGATGTTAAGCGCTATGTCGAAAACTGCTATTGGAATTATAAGAACTGTAAAACCAACGTTATTTCAACAAGAGTTTACAAAAATTGTTGGAACATTACCTACCTTCAGTAAGTTATTTAGGTTTTAGTAGTTTAAACGCTTTAAATCCTTAACTATAGGTACCGGTAGGAATCGATTCCATATTCTTGTCGAATTACGCTATTTTTTGTTTTTGTGTTTTTGTAAAGTATTTTTAACTCATGAAAAAATTATTTTCTATTATTTTAAAGTTTTAAATCAATTTCATAATTTACTTTTCCTCTTGCTTTACATAAAAATGTCATGCAAACTCGTCTTGTTATGTAATACATTATTTGGTTGAGTGTGCAGATGAAATATGATTACAATTTTAAAGTCATCTAAATCAGAATTTGAATAATTTTTTGGAATTTTGTTAAAATTGCAAAATTCTTTCATTATATCATAACATTTTTCTAATGAACTTAAGGACCATAGAACAAATCATTTAATTAATTTGTAATTAGCTATTATTGAAATTTTTCATTCTTGTTTTATTTAAATTAAATATGGTTAAATGAGCATGGATTAATTTAAAGTTTTATCGTTACATATCCTTTACTCATCCATAAAGATATTTTAATAGTAAATATTCCTTATATAATTCTGGGATGGTTGTCTATTATCTAATATATATTTTGTTGATATCAATTATAATATGTAAATAAATTTTTAGACTTTTAATAAAGAAATTCATGGTATTGGAAATTATACATTTTAAATTTAGATCGAGAATATGCAACTAAATCAGCAACAGTAACTAAAGGTGCTCAAGGAAAAGTTGTAGCTGTTATCGGTGCTGTTGTTGATGTGCAATTTGATGATGAATTACCCCCTATTCTTAATGCTTTGGAGGTTCAAAATCGTACACCTAGACTAGTCTTGGAAGTTGCTCAACATTTAGGAGAAAACACTGTTCGTACAATTGCTATGGATGGTAAACTTATTCAAATAATTGCTTGAAATAAATTTACATCTTAAATGGAATAAGCAATACATTGTTATGTAATTGCTAATTAGGTACAGAAGGACTTGTACGTGGCCAAAATGTTTTGGATAGTGGATATCCTATTCGTATTCCTGTGGGAGCTGAAACTTTAGGTCGAATAATCAATGTCATTGGTGAACCTATTGATGAACGTGGTCCTATTCCAACTAATAAACTTGCTCCTATTCATGCTGATGCTCCAGAGTTTGTAGAGATGTCAGTTGAACAAGAGATTTTAGTAACTGGAATAAAGGTTGTGGATCTGTTGGCTCCTTATGCCAAGGGTGGTAAAATTGGTCAGTATGATTGTATTTATACTATTATTTTTACTCTATTTTCATATCGATTTTCAAAAAAAAGTAATTTATCTAATGAAATAGGCTTATTTGGTGGTGCTGGTGTTGGTAAAACCGTACTTATTATGGAGTTGATTAACAATGTTGCCAAAGCTCATGGTGGTTACTCTGTATTTGCTGGTGTTGGTGAACGAACTCGTGAAGGCAATGATCTGTATCAGGAAATGATTGAATCTGGTGTAATTTCTCTTAAAGATAAAACATCTAAGGTGTCACTTGTATATGGCCAAATGAATGAACCCCCAGGTGCTCGTGCACGAGTTGCTCTGACTGGTTTAACTGTTGCTGAATACTTCCGTGATCAAGAAGGACAGGACGTGTTACTTTTTATCGACAATATTTTCAGGTTCACTCAAGCTGGTTCTGAGGTATTAAAATATTATAGAATTATTTTTAATTTTATAAATTATTTTTAAATTGTTTGTTAGGTATCAGCCTTATTAGGGCGTATACCATCTGCTGTGGGTTATCAACCAACTTTAGCAACTGACATGGGGACCATGCAAGAAAGAATTACAACAACAACAAAAGGATCCATTACTTCTGTTCAGGCCATATACGTACCTGCTGATGATTTGACTGATCCTGCACCTGCCACCACATTTGCTCACTTAGATGCAACCACTGTTTTGTCGCGTGCTATTGCTGAGCTTGGTAATCATAATTTATCATCACAATGTTGTATAAAATAAAATTTATTACATATCTTATAAATAGGCATTTATCCCGCCGTTGATCCTCTCGATTCAACTTCCCGTATTATGGATCCAAACATAATTGGTGCTGAGCATTATAATATTGCTCGTGGTGTGCAGAAAATCTTACAAGATTACAAATCGTTGCAAGATATTATTGCTATTTTAGGTATGGATGAACTATCTGAAGAAGACAAGCTTACTGTTGCACGTGCACGTAAAATTCAAAGATTCTTATCTCAGCCATTCCAAGTATATTTCAATTTTTAAAACTCTTTATTAAATCAAACTACATTCTGATTAAATATTTAATATTATTTATTAGGTTGCTGAAGTATTTACTGGTCATGCAGGTAAATTAGTACCACTTGCAGAAACAATCAAAGGATTTCAGAAAATTTTGAATGGTGAATTAGATCATTTACCTGAAGTTGCATTTTATATGGTTGGTCCAATTGAAGAAGTAGTAGCCAAAGCAGAATTTTTGGCTAACTCATAAATTTTATTATTAAAAGTTAGTTTAATGAGTTTTCTGAATGAGATTATTTTAACAAATATGTCATCTATCATTTATTCATATAAAATATCATTCAAAATATGTACATCGATAATTCAATTTATTATTGAAATATAAACACTATATATAATGAAAAAATGTGTATTAAACAGCACTACTTTTTCATTGCTTTATTAATATACTATGAAAGGGTATATATTAAATAAAATTTAATAAAATTTTTTTCAAAAATATATTTGTATTGAGAAATGTCTATTATTTTGTCTAATTTCTTATAAAAATAACTTATAATAAATAATTAATCAAAATACATCCATATTATTTACTATTTTAAAATACCTTTTTTTTAAATACAAACTTCTATAATTTTTCATTGAATAGTTAAAAAAATTTAAAGGAATATTTAATTTTAAGTAATACTAATTTTTCGTAAGATTTACATTAACGACGATCTAGTTTTTGTATTTACATTCCATCAATCATTGGTTTTTCTATGTTATATGCTTGTACCAACGCCTGTAATAATATGAATTTAGAACCAATATTTAAAATTGTTTATATATTTAATAACTTACTCTCCATTGACTCATATTCAAAGTTAGAACATTTTGGATATTTTTTTTATTTTTATTTTCTTTTGAGTTTGTTAATCCATTTTTACTAATTTTTTGTAATTGTGGAACTCCACTAGCATCTATCAATATTTTATACTTTAATAAACAATATAATTCTATATAAAATGATTTGTTTTTTACCTGTTGTAAATTGAATAATACCATCTCGAATTAAAAAAGAAACATGTAATACATTTTCAACAGTTTTTCCAAAATCAGTAGGATGAAGTACTAATGTAAAAAAATCTAATGGTTTCTTATTCTGTTTTTGATAATGTCCAAGAATTTTTATTATTTCCACTACAGTTTGTTCTACACTATTTTCAATTTTGTTGAATAATATATTTTCTGGTCTTTTAATAAAAGCTTGAGATTCTTTAATAATTATACGTCTTACAATTTCTTTCCGTGGAATTAATTGAAGAGTACCTAAAAGTAAATATGCAAATAATTTTAATAAATTTTCATATAAAATTCATTCATTTTGTTATACCTAATATGATTGAAAATGTGGCAGTTTGTTTGAAATATGATAATATTTCACTTCCTATAAGAGACCAATCATGTCTATTATCCAATATAGTATCAGGTACAGTATATAAAAAATTTTTCTAAAAATGAAAATTGAAAATTGAATATATTTTATTGAAAATTTTTTAATTTACATAAATAAAAAATATATTTACTATTTTTTCAGAAAATTCAAGAAAATTATAACAGCTAATATTTTTGGATAATGAAAAAGTACATTTTTTTAATACATTAGATGAAATTGTCATTATTTCAGAATCTAAAAGTACTTCACTTTGATCTTTTACTTAAAAATAAATTTTTGAATAAATATTTTGTATATCATTTAATATAGAAAAAATATTATATAAAGTATCTTTACTATTATTTTTACTATTTGCTTCTTGATTTATTGCATCAGCTTTATTAATTATACGCTCTAAATTTCCTATAGTTTTATTATTTACATTGTTCTCTATGAATAAAAATATTTATAAATAAAAAATTAATTATAAAATACATAAACTAAAAACGATAAATTTAATAATTATACTTACGCAAAGATTGTGCATTCATATAAACATTTCTTAAAATTTTTTTTCTAATTTGTGGAGATCTATATATATTCTCTAAAGTCATATTTGAATCTTTTGACGATGAAGAATTAAACTGTATCAAAGACATTTTAAAGGCTGTAAAATAATACGAAATTCAGTAAATTATTTACAACTTATTAAATTATTACTTATTAAACTTATTAAAGTAAATTTTCATTCATACAATATTTTTATATTTAAATGCCTGTATTTTATACAGATAAAAAAGATAATTATATAATACAAAATAGATATAAAAAAATCTACAAAAGATGTAGTAGCTGGTAACAGTAGGATTTACTAAAAATGAGAACCCACCTTAAGTTGGAATTTAATTTAGAAAAAGTAACTAGATTTTAGGAATTTATGTACTTTATATTATTTAATAAAATATCAAATTTTACAATGTAATTGAATATATTTTTAAACAAGTTAATATATATATATATATATATATATATTAATGTTTGTTAACTATTTTTTATAAAAAATATTAATATTATAAATTTTGTGAATTGAGAATAAATTTTGGAGTTAAAGATTCCTAATTATATACTATTAATACATTTTCTTTTATTATTTTAGCATATATTATTATTTATATATAATTATCAATCTATTGTCCAATGATTTTATTGAACTGTATGAAATCATATATTACACTACAAATACCAATTTTGGTGTAAAGTTTTATTCCTAATTAATATTCCTTCAAATCCGTTCCTTTGTAATCATAACAAATATGAAAATAGTAAACAAAGGTAATGATTTTTTAAATATTATTATTTTTCATTATTCAAAAATTTAATCAGTGGTTTTATTAAATACAGATATGTAAAAAATATATTTAGAACTGTAATTTCATTGAATGATACATTGTAATAAGAACATAAGCGAATGTTTTTAAAGGGTCTTTTTTTCTTTGGGGAAAAATGACAAATGCTGTGTATTTGCTGCAAATAAAAGGCTTAATTATGAAAAAGCTAAATTTTACTAAAGGTATAGTTAATTTTTCAAGGGATTTATGTGAATATTATTAATATTATTAAATTTATAGTATATTGTTTAAAATAATTAAAATAACTATTAATATTCAACAAAAATTTAATGTAATTCAATTATTTTATAATATAATATATTATATTAAATGCACTACATAAACTATAATTTTTATATACAGATAAATTTAATTATTTTATGCTTGCGTAGAATTCCATTATCCGTTGTCATATGACCAAGAGGATTAGATTAGACTATAACTACCAGTTGCCGGGTGAGGGAAAGAAATGCGGGCATGTGGAAGGGATAGCGCATTTATTCAATAATTACATGTATTTGCTTATCGTGCTGTTTATTGCCTTTTTTTTATAAACTACACAATAATAATGATTCTAAGATGACGTTGAGAATCGGTGAGATCTTGTAGTTCGGTGGTGGTTGCCACGTGGCGTTAGCATGCACTACATAGAGGTAGGAGGTCGTAAATCTCCGGATCCTTTTGACATAGTGTGCTTGGTGGTAAATTTTTATACTGATAGTAAGAGATTGTAAATCTCTGGTACTTTTTCGTGTAATGTCACGTGATGGTAACGTATTGAGTTCTCAATGGAGAGACTGTGTTGGCTGCACACTTCGAGAGAGGTGCCTTTTTTGGCTTGGTACTTGTCGTTCAATTAGATAGGTGCCTTTTTTGTTTGGTGCTTGTCGTATAATTAGAGAGGTGCCTTGTTGGCTTGTGATAGGTGTACAATTATTAATAGGTCTTTGATTGTGTTTTTACTTACAGCGATTCAGTTTCCTTGCTGGATCCTGCGAATGGGTACCTAGAAATTGCGCTTCTTGTAGTCGTGTCCGTTCTCGTGATGCAATCAGCACTCTTGACTGCTTTAAATTATTGCACACTTGAGACTTGAAAGGGTATTGAATATAATGGCTTCACTGCATTAGCGTAACTGAGTACCTAGTTTTTATCTGTAAAGTTAGACTGAATGATATATGTAAAATAAGTGCAACTGAGTGACTGGTGTATGGCAGAAAGCACTAGCTGAATAGCGTAATGACTGATAACTGATTGACTGAATAATTTATAATGAGCCTGCAAGCCTGTTGAATACGTACACGGAATTGAACAAATCGTGATCAGTGTCAAGGCGTCTTCATTGAGAGAGAGGCTGGACGCGAGCTTACTTTAAATATTCGCGCGGCAGCTTATTTAGCTGGCAACAATACATAGGTGCTGCCGCCGAAAGTGTTGCTTGACGTCAGAGACTAAAGCTTTAGAATATTCGAGAACTCCAAGAAAGTAAGGCTCTACAAATTTGGTAGAATTTAAAATGACGTTGCTAAGCAGAAATATTGTAGGACACTGGAAAATAAGGCATAGAATATTCGAGAATTCCCGAAATCAATGTGTTCGGAATTGAAGCAGTTGAAAACGGAATTCAATAGTGGAATTCAAGTGGATTTAGCGAATTCGGGAAATTTCCTACGCCGAAAACTCGAATATACGATTATATTTCTGAATAGCAATGCCGATGAACCTTCCAAGGCTATATCCTACTGACGTCACGACAAATTTTGGTATAGCAACAGGCACCGGTGTGCTGCCGGCGTCGCAAGCTTCTACGAGAATATTTAAGAGCAGCGCGTCGTGCCCAGTGCACTGTGATAGTAACAATTACGAAGTCACCACAACGGGCTCACTATTCTATCTTCAGGCATACAACCTACAGTTATCACTCTCTGTAGCTATGCAAGTACTTAATCATCAAGTAATAAGTAATCTAACAAACCAATAGTGATGCCAAAACTATCAGAATCCGTTAAACTTATATTCAAGAAATGCTAGTGCAAACATAAACTAAGAGTGAAAATAACAAAACTATAACTACAACATACATCAACGGAGCACACCGGCGGCTAAAGTAGCATTAACTCATTCGATCCTTTAGTGCGCGCCGGCTACAACAGCGACACTTCTCATGAAAGGAAGGATTCACGCCTCACACTACTGAAATTGCACACACTCTCATCAGCACGTAAAACAATTGAAGAAACCTCATACATAAGTCACTCATACTCTCCATTCATACACTTCTATACCATTAACTATTATTATATTATTGTATTTAATAAAGGAAAGACCAAGATATACTGTGTGTAGAATTGAATCATTGCATTTGCCTCCTCCACTTGCCAGCAACACCTCCACCCAACATCACCGGGAGGTTTTTTTTTATTTTATATCCCAGACACAATGTTTACAAATACAAGAGTTAGAAGGCTAATACTTCTCCCAATGTTCAAATACCTGGAAAATGCTCCAATTCCGAACAATGCTAAATTCCTCTATATTTCATGAAATTAATTTTTCTACTTATATTTAAGAATTTTATTAAATAAATACTTAACTAGAAACCTAATTGGCTTAGTAAAATTGTTGAAAGGAAATTCATTAAAATTATTTTTCATCATTATTTTGAAAAACATGAAGAAAATGACAATTATTGTAAGAAAATGACCACTTATTAATATTGCTGCTTATTTAGTTGATGGGAACCGTGTATTAGTGATCCGTAAGAACGTGTGTAATAGCGTAGTTTACGTGTGTGGAGTCGATCTCTGTTGCACTAATGGTACGTAAGAACATGTGAAATAGCGTGGCTTACGTGTGTTGAGGTCGATCTCTGTCGCAGCGTTGGTAGGCCGAGTGAGCTTGGCTTCCGTTGACTGTAGTCGATCTCTTCAGCGTTGGTGGGCCGAGTGAGTTGGCTTCCGTTGGGCTGGAGTCGTTCTGTGCAGTGTTGGATGGCCGAGACTAGCTTGGCTTACGTTGAGCTGGGTTCGATCTGTAGGACGGCGATCCGATCTTGATGAATGCTTGATTGAACTAGTAAGAGGGCGAGAGCGTCAAGCGCGGCTCCTTAAATATTCTCGGACCAACTCGATGCGCCGACAACGCATCGGTGGCAGTTACTATGCCGTATTTTTCGTGACGTCAATAGGGCATAGCTTTGCAGGATTCACGTGTTAATACTTCTCGGAATTATGGTCGTACATTCGACTATTTTGTGTAGTGAGGCCTTTCGAGTTCGCAAAATTGTTTATGACTCGGCGCAAGTTTTTCTTACTAAACATAGGTGACTTTACCTCTCCCATTTTGTTTACCGCATAAAATTGCTGCAATCCGTAACATACATAATTAAACAATATTATATGAATATATGTATTTTATAATGTTTTCCATGTTATCAATGTTGTAGTTACCTTTTTTATAATTTTTATTAAACTATTAGCTTCATAAATTCTACTTTTCCTTACTGAAATCGTTGGCTTCTTAAAAATATATGACTTTCTTTGATCAGCGTACTTATTAATATATTGGATAAATTATAATATACTACCAAGCTGTATAATCAGGTATTGCTTAAACTAGTAGTTTAAATTTTTTAATATATAAAGTGAAGTAAAATACTTACATTTAGCTATATTTCTTATTATTCATCACTACTTTACATGTATTTTGAAAACTTAAAAAATTTATAATCCTGCTATCAATGATTCTGTTAGAAGTTACATAGTAAATTTTTTTACAAATTTAACTTAAAAATTGAATAATACCATAATTACAATTAATTGAATATTTATTGAAAAATGATAATTTCTTCATCGTTATCAAATAAAATAAAAATTAGTAAGAATTAATAATTAATTTGACTCTAAAATTTTTAGATAATACTTTAATATAGTAAATTGTGTTATTTTATAATAATAAAATTAAAAAATTACCTACTCTTTTTTTAATTATATATTTATATATTACCAGTATTAAAGAATCAAATTATTAGTATTAAATATTACTAGCTATATTAAAAACATAAATATACAAAGTAAAAATATTGCAAACATAAGAACCTATACTATAGAATAGCTAGTAATATCAAAATCCAGTGGAAATCGGGAAAATAACATCACAATTGGGAGTTGACTTATTCGATAGAAAATTAATAAACTTCATATTTCAACTTTCAAGAAATTTTAAAATACGATATTCGATATTAGTAATACTAATTTTATAATAAAATAATTGTATTTAGTTAAAATTTTAATACGTACATAAAGAGTGAGTTAATTGAATCATAAAGTTATATTAATAATAATAAATAAGCTATATTAAAATGATAAAGACAATGTACTGATTATGTATGGTATCTAAAAAATAATATAGTTCTGTATTCTTTGAAAAGGTATTGTTATTAAAATTTATTTAATAACAAATTATATTTTAATTACATTAATTACAATATAGATGAATAATTCCTTACGTAATACTATATAAGAAATATATTTTTATAATATTTAAAAATATTTATTAAATAAATATATTTATATAAATTATGAAATTAAAAAAAATATATAATATTGCAAATTTACATAGATACAAACATAAATTATATTATATTAATAAATTAAACTGTTTTATATATTATATAAAACTATATATATATTATATTATATATATAGTACTATATTATATTATATTATATTAACTATATTATATTATATTAATAAATTAAACTATTACTAATTTTTCAATTACCTTAAACTATATTAATTATTTTAGATTATTTTTGTTATACAAGAATGTAACTAAAAATTTATGTTTTTATTATTTACGTTATAAATTTTATTTTACACTTTTAAACTATTAAATTTAAAAAATTGTATATATATATAATTTCATGTTTCAATCAATCCCAATTAAGATTAATAAATTCTCTGTAAAACGGAACATTCTTTGTTGAATACCCTATATATTTAAAATAGGGAATTTGTATAGAGAAATTGTAAGTTTTTACAAGGAGTAATGTGTATTGTATATGCCTTACGTAATATAGCACTTTTCCCATTCATGATTTTGAAAACTCGTCGCATAGTTTTGTTCAAAATCTGCTAAATTATCATATTTATAATAATAATCAAAGAATCTAAGTAATGAGTATTTTTTAAGCATACGGATTGAAAATTTAAGTTTTTTAGTTCTCTCGAATATATGCACTTTAAATATAGGCTTACAATGTTACAAACAAGTATCATTTATAGATTTGTACATTAGTAAAATATACATAAACCGTTTTTTCAATTTAAGGATAGTAATGGACAATTTACTTATATGTATATCTAAATATTTTTTAGATATTTGCTGATTAATTTATAGTTCATTTTTATAGTTTTTTTTTAATATTAAAATTATTAATATTTATATTTGTAATTAAATATATTATATAAAGTATCTTATACCTAATTGAAAGTCAATAAGTTTATCTTTCTTTTCAACTATATAATCTCTAAAATCATACTCTGTATTCCTTAGTTAATTTCTATTATTTTTATCTATATTTTTAATATGTATAATTTTACCATTGTATTATTATTGTATGATTATTGTATAAAAATTTAATAGATTAGATTATTACGAGTAAAAAAATTTACATGAATACATTTTTGTTGTTTGCTGTTTTCAAAATACAACTTGTACCATGAATGATATATTATTTAGGAAATTTAATATATTTCAGGTAAAACAATATTATCTTCTTTTTAGACATAATTTTAATATTGGTATATTTTGAATTTGGTCGTATAAAAACTTATATAAAATTTATTTTAGAATCCAGAAAATAAACCATTAGAAGATTTAAAACTTGAAATTCAAATTAATGGAATTATTAAAAGAATTCCAGCATTAGTAAGTCTTGATATAAATAAAATTATTGTCTTTAATATTTATTTATTAATCCTAAGTATAACTTATGTTCTTGTTATAGGATAAATATTGGGTTGAAAAAAAATACTTTTTAAATTATGAAACACCAAATTTAATAGATTCAAATGGAAAAGATATTATTGGAGCCAAAGAACAATGGTTTGAACTTACTAGTTTTATTTTAAATGATTTAATTTGGTTACGTTATTTACCTTTCTATAAGTAAGATATTGACTATTAAAATTATTATTCTAATATAAATAAGATTCTTAATATTTATATATTTTTAGGTTTTGGTCCAATATTATTTTTAACCCATGTATAATGAATTCAATTATTACATTTCTACAAGAGGCACCAAATTTTTATACTTTAGAATATTTTTATAATACATATCATTTAAGGGAACATTTTAATATGATTAGAAAAAATATTCTCATTGTATTTACTAGACTAGTAACAAATAAAGAAAGCCCTACAGAATATATCAATTTGCAAGAGCATGCACAGTTATTATATAATAAGTATATATTTACTGTACCAATTTTAATGGAGTTATGTCAACAATATGGACGTGATAATAGAAGAATTGTAGAAAAAATTGTTAATTCTGTATTTGTCTTACAACCATTTTATAAAGCAGATCTTGAAAAGGCTATTATATTTATTATACAAGTAAAGTAGTTATTATACAAAGTCTAATTTATTAATATAATTTTTTTTTTAAATAAATTGTTGATTACGCAGGCATTAACAAAAATTGAGAAAAGATTTGAAGATTGCCCTACTAATCAAAAAGGAAAACCAATTCTTCTTTCTGAAAGAGGTGGAGCAAATGTTGAAATAACTTTCCCTAATCTGGAATACTTAATACTATACTTGCTTGATACAGTATCTACAATCAGTATATTTTTAGATATTTATGATGCTTGTGTGGATAGTTTTAAAGTTGAAGATTTTCCAGCAAAGTAAATACTTATAATTATTTAACTTATATAATAATTTCATAGACATTTTAATAGATTTAATTAATGTTAAATTTAGAATAATATCAATATATAGTAATACAATACCAGAAATTTATAAAAGATTAAATGATCTAGCATCAGTAGATGAAACTGTACAAAAATATGTTGAATTAAAACACAGGCTTGATGTTATAAGGATAGAAATTTTACATATTTATCGAACAATTATTTATAAACAAATAAAAAATATTGGAAATAGGTAATATTAAAGTTAAATTTACATATTATATATTTTAAAAATATTCATATTTTTTATAGAAATTTCATTTCTTCTGAAATTAATGAAATTGTAGAAGATTTTTTATTAAACTTGATGTACATATTATCTGAAAGAAAATTCATAATTGATTATCATAATGTTTATCCTGTTACTGATGATTTTCAAACATTATTGAATCTTTATCCCGATCTGTATCCTTGTTAAAATGCATTTACATCAAATTATTGAATGTACTCTAATAATAAAAATTTGTTAATATTAATTTATTAATAGTTTTATCATATGTATTTTAATTAATTTATTAACATACACTTTATTATAATAATCTGTGAATAAAATTAATAGATCACTTTTGTATTAAATTTCATAATTATATTAAAAATTTATTAACTAGTTGTTTTATGCAAAAATTTGAATCTTAATAATTCCATATATACAAATATTTATTTGAATAAAACTGTTTTATGTATTAAAAATATAACATATATTTTAATATCATTGACTATAAAAATTTTGAAAATAAAAAAATTTGCCATCTTTAATTTACAATATTTAGTTTTAAAGAATCATAAAATATTAAAACAATTTATTTATACATTATGTATATTTTTTTATATTTTATTTAAACTTTGCTCTGCACCGAGTACTTATAGTATTACTATTATTTCAAATACATATAAATAAATGTTTATAAAAAACTGAGTTTACAACTTGGAAATAAAAACAATCCTATATAAAAGTGTATTATTCTTAAAAGATGAATTTAAGTTGATTATATAAGAAAAATGAAAATATTTTTAATTTATTCTGATAAATTTTTAAACCTAAATGGCAGAATGATATAAAATTAGTATAAAGAAAGAAAAAGTAATAGCCCATAAAATAACAGTATAAATAAAAATTTTAAGAATAATTTGTTAATACAATTTATTAATACAAGAAATCATAGAATTAAGTAAAATATATTCTAATTTTTAATTAGAATTAATATAATAAAATTATAAGTATATAATCAATGATTCCTTAAATTTTCATAAGTGATATAATAAAATGTGAATTTATTGTAAATTCTATTTTCTCTTGTTTGGATGAACCAGTTTTTTCTTTAAGATGTACTTCAATTGAAAGAATTCCTGTAAGTAATTTTTTTTAAACATTAATCAACTGGATATTAATAAATATTTACATTTGCTTTTTATATATAATTTAATAAAAATATTTTTTATTTTAGAATGATATGATAAAATCTAATTATGTTCAAAGCAATGACATATTAGAAACAAAAAATAAAACTTCTATTGATAAAACAAATGCCAAATCTGAAGTTGAATTATTATCTCTAATATCCGACATAAAAGATATTTTTTGTAATCTTAGTGAAGGAATGATTCAGGTAAAATAAAATTATTCACAGTACTTACCGGTGATTATTCTTATTTTCTATTAACTTAAATATATTTTAAAATGTCTGTAGTTACTTTTTAGTACTAAATTTTCATAACATAAGTAAATTTTTGTTTTAGTAATTTATAAGTTTTTTAATTCATAGGATTCAATACATCTAGATTCAAATAGAATAAGTTAGTTATAAAATTTATTATCTTTCTATTATACACATTAAAAATAAATGAAAATTAATTTTTCTTTTAATAAAAATGAATGGTTTTTAATTCAAAAACATCTAAAATGTTTGTAATTATTAAAATAGACTATATTTAATTTAATATTGTACAAATTAAACGAATTAGCTGTATATTAATTATGCACATTAGTAAGTTATCATTATGAATTTAGTTAAGTAAAATTTATTATTTAATATAGTCAAATCTTATGTTAAGTGTGTAATCAATAAGTTAAATCATCAAATGCAAATTAATTTATAATAAAGTAACTACAAAAATAATTCATTTGTTCACACTATATATATACAGAAAATTAATTGTATCTTAGCATTAAGCTGGGGATTCAAACTACACATGCAAATTTCATATATAAATATATAAAAATAGGAGGAAAGCATAACAAAAAATATCTATTTCAATGAGTGAACAAAATAAAAAATTTCAATAAAAAACTGATTCTATTTTTTAACACAGTTTATTTTAAGAGAATCTAATTAGCTACTCTCTAAAATTTTAATATATTTCATATACTATCAATGCTTTTAAAATATACATCAATTTTATATATATTTTTATTTGATACATATTTGTTTTTCTTTTAAATTAAGTAAATAAATATTAGTTGCTTGGGACTGAATATGTAAAACTTAATAGATGGTGTAGTAATTTATACTTAAGTTTTTTTATTATTATAATAGTTTCTACTTTATTTTAGAAAGTGCAGTAATTTTTACTTGCTTTTTGAGTTGTTTAATAATTATATATAATATATAATAGTATAATAGTAATTGTAAAGTACTAGATCATTATTATCTGTATCTGTTTTTTCTTAAAATACTGATGAATATTATGTAACAAGTATTGCATAAGTTATATCTGGCAGTTTCCTATTCATTTAGAAATTTTTGGTTATTAAGAACAGTTTCGACACTTTGCAAACTACCTATTAAATTCAGAATAATATATCCATATTTTATTCATTTTTTCACTTACCCTATTATTGACCTATTGCTATTTTTGATTATTATTATAAAAAGTATATGAATGTTCGAATGTTACTTTATTATAATAACTGTACTTTATAATAAACTTTTTACTCTATGAAGTAGGAAATATGACTTATTTTATAAATATATGAATCGGTTTAGATGTTTTGTTAATTTAATACCATTAATATTAATGTTATTGGCTTTTTTTTATTTTTAATTTATTATTATTTATTATTATTTTTAATTATAAAATGTGAGGGCGTGTTAAAAACTTCCATAAGAATTATATGCAAATGGAAACTACAAAAAAATATTGTCAGTATATATTAATAATAGATCAAATTATAAAAAATATAACAAATATCAAAACCAAAGAAGGTTTATAAAAGATATGATACATAATTTAAAGTTTAGAAAAAGTACTGTGTGTGACTTGTTTAAATAGCAACAATTAATAAGCTTATTATTGCCAAAAATTTAATGGTAGTAAAAGTACAATAATATCTAATCATGAATCCTACTGTATGCTTTTAGCGGTATTTCAATTCTACACATGTATTTCAGTGGCTAAATGCAAATGAATAGAATTTTGTGTTTACGCCTATAAAGTATAATTGGTTGATATAACGCTAAAATAAAATAATTGTAAAATAATATAATTTGTTTATGAAATCAATACCTAAGAGTTATGGAATAAACTAATTATTAAATCATCATTTGTGAATTTAGGTACTTAAAAGCTACTTCCCTTACTTCTTTATCTAAGTTGTATATACTGCTAGTGTACATATGTGTAAATCCACAATAAAATGATAATTTACAAATTTTTATAATTCTAAAAATGCTTTAATTTGTAGAAATGTCTTACGTATTATAATTACAATAAAGAGTCAGTTATAAATGCTGTTTTAGAGGATTGTTTACCAGTTGAATTAAAGAGCTTAGATCCTACTCTTCCATATCTTCCATCGGATTCAGAAGTATAATATATACATATATATATATATATATATATATATAAATTTATTTAATAAATATATTTATTTTAATTCATCTCACTTTTACAAATAATATATTTCTAGAAATTAGCACCTACAATTGATTTATCGAACGAAATAGAAAAGTTAAATGTTAGTGAAAATAATCAATTTGACATTATGACTAAAGATGTTACAGATTCTATAAGCATACATAAAGGCAAAAGGTAAAAGTATTAATTTTGATTTCTTTTTTATCAACATTCTTAATTAATTTATCAGAAATAATTTATTATTATTCATTTAATTAAATGTAAATTAGATATTTTTTATAATTTAGTTATTAAATTCAAATTTTATTTAAATTACATTCTTTTAGAAAAGATAAATATGAAAATTTGAATGAGCTATTAAATGAAAAATCTCATATAGCTGAATCGAAAAATATTTATAATAAATATAGTATAGTTACAAGTGAATATGATGATGAATATGATGATACCTATAATGATCAAAATGTTGGTTCAAATATTCAAGATGATATTGTTGAAGTTGATGCCAGACCTTTTATTACGCCTAGAGTATATTTTTCATATAATTTTATTAAACTATGAAATTGTCAAGATTATTTATTATAAATGTATTTTTAGGTATTTAGTACATTCAAAAAAAGAAATTATTCTGAAGGAGTCGAAGAAAATTTTGAGTTTAAAACAGATCAATTATTATTTAAAACTGATAAAAAGCAAATAAGTAAAAAAGGAACAACAGTATTAGAGACTCATTTTCAAAATATTAGTAAGTTATTAGTTTAATTAGATATGTTAGAATTTATTGTACATTTATTATTTTAATCTATTCAATAGGCAATAAAAAAGATCAAGGACAGTCGAACGATAACAAAAACAAAAAGGAGAAGCATAAAACATCAAAAGTTAATCATCGTCCCTGTATTGGATCACAAAGGAAACAATTATGAAATACCTTGATCATGAAAGTTTCTTTATTTTCAAATTTGTTCATTATTAAAGAGGTTTAATATGTAAAATAAAACAAACTTGATATTACTATTAAACTTTATTTAACTATTTACTAATAATATTATAGTGTGATTTTTTGCATTTAATAAAATATTTTATTTTTTCTATAAATTTTTTCTCCAATAACATTTGAAATTATAAAAATATTTCAAATACAAAATTAATACTTTTTATATTTTATAAATCAAAATGCAAATATATTTGATATACAATTTAAAAAAATTTCCTAACCTTTACAAATTTTTAAAGACAATAACATTTTACAGCTTCTAATAGAAATATTAAAAATGGAAATAGTTTTTAATATCAAAATTATTGTACAAAACAAAAAGCTCAGTAAATCAAATACTGAGAAATATAATAACTAATTTTCAATATACATAAACAAAAATAATTATAGTACTAATTAAATATCTAAACAAATAAACAATTTTAATTTATATAAAATAATTATGAATAGATTATTTCTACAATATTTATAATTCTATAAAAATGTAGTGGTTAATGAACAAGCACAGAAGTTAAAAATTGGAATTATTTAACCAACAAAAATATAAACAAAATTTTAAAATAATTGAAAAAAAAACTTAGATCTTTCATTTAACTACTCTATTGTACTAAAGAATACAAATGAAAAATATTAATAAATTGAATTTATTTCAATATAAAAATACTATTTTACTTGTTAAATATAATTGCAATTCAACAATTATATTTGAATTAATATTTCTAAAATATATTTATTAATTAAAATTAAATTAAGATAACATTTATTTATTAGTTTCAAGTATTTATTCCATATTTTTTTATTTAACTATTAAAAGTTCTCGATATTATTATAATTTGATTTTCATATTGAACATGTTAAAAAGAACGAATAAAATTAGACTGGATTCTTTTCGAAGCGCATCATTTACGTTTTATTTCGATGTTTAATACGTATATTTATGACGACGATATATCACAATAAAATGCTGTGTAGTATACATTTAGTATACATTTTGATTGCCAATTGAAAATAGTAGATAGTGCTTTATGCAGTTAGATTATTTTTAAATCGATTACAAATTTTAATAAGTGAATGCATTTTTCAGAATGTATAAGTCAGTAGAATTGTCTATAGAACATCCAAAAGTTAGATTTAATAAATCTTTGGAAAGTGTCGTTACAAAGAAAAATGTAGAAGTCAATAATAGCAATAGTAAAGAAAAGGTAAAAATTAAAAGTAGCTTCCCTATAAAATTTCCAATCAAAATTTTAAAAAATAGTATTTTAATAACAAACCAACAAGATATAAATAATGATTCTAAAATTATTAAACAGAGCGAACATGAAGAAAAACGTATATACAATATTGATAAAAGAAATTTTAATAATGCTACATCTATTATGCCCTCTATAAAAGAATTAAAATCTATAATAGAAATTGATTCACGTAAATCAAGTACTATTTTAAAATCTGAACTTCCAAATATTGAAAATTATACTAAATCCAAAAATAATAAGATAAATAATAATGTTTTTAAGATACAAAGTTATATTGATACTAGTAATTCAAATATTAAATTTCATCAGATTATGCCTGAAGATAAAACAAAAAATATAACTTGTGAAGATGATACACAAATTGTTCAAATTATTAATACATCTAAAAAACCGTCGCATATACAAATTATTAAGAAAAATGCAAATATATGTGACATAAATTGCACAAAATCAAAATTTAATGAAAAAAATAAAGAAAAAGAAAAACATGTTTATCATAAAATTAATAAAATACCTGAAAGAGATAAAAGCAATTACTCCAAGTTTGTCAAATCTAACAAAGTGAAAAATGAATTTGTAACATTTACTTCAACAAAGATTTTAAAAAATAATGTATTGCAATTACCTGATAATATATTTAATAAAAAATCGATTAAATTAAAAAAAAAAATACAATATATGCCTTATGCAAAATTTAAAATAATCTCAACTAATAATAAAAGCATGGAACAATTATTGAAAACAAATCTAAAAAAAAGTAGAATATTCCATACTAAAGGAAAACATAATATTGTACATCCAACTATATTGTCCAAGAAACACAATGTAAATACAAGTAATTTCATTGAAGATAGTAAAGGAAGAAATACTTCTATAAATTTATTATCATTTCCTGAATACAATTCAAGTATTTGCATTATAAAAAAATTGAAAGAAATTCAAACAGAAAAATTAATTAATAATACCGAACATTTATCACTGATGGATAAACATTTTTCAAATAGCAAAGTATGTTTAAACTTTGAAGGTATATTACAAATTTATCATTGAAAAAACTATTTCATTATTTTTTATATTCTAAGATTTCAGCTGCTTTAGATTTTACACCATATGAATCAGTATATAAAGATTTGATAAATTTATCAATGGATGATAAACCATCATTTAGGTTTGTACGAAATAAGATTCCGGAACCTCAAGAAAAGGATATTATACCCAAACTTTCTGATTTTTATAATCCAAAATATACAAATCAATATTTCATAATAATGCGCCCTACATCTTCAAATTCAATTAATGTGAATACTTTAAATGCCTTCTCAATAAGTAATAAAATATACATATGGAAACATTCTATGAATAATAATTTTTAATATCAATTTAGACAATTATATTTATATAATAACTACATTCGTTTTATTAAATGTCTAATTTATATAATTTATTTTATTTTACCAGTTTTATATACACATCTATGTTCTAAATATAAAATTAAAATAATATTAATAAAAAAATATATCCAAATAAAGCATTGATGTATTGATTTATATAAAGCTTGATATTATGTATTATGTATGCACAAATTTTTAATGAATCAATTTCACAAGAAATAATTTTATTTTTTACTAGTCGCCATAGCTACCTTCAAATGGGTTATTTTTATCATCTTTGTAATCTTCAGAAAATGGATTTTTAGATTCATCATAATCACTCTTAAAAGGATTTGATGGAATAATTGATATTTTAGGTGGAATGAATACTTTTTCAGCTAGTGAAGATTTTGATATTACATTATTTACAATTTTAGCTTCAGGAATAAGTATTGAAGACTCTCTTTTTAAAATGGCTTGAGTTGTTGAAAAACCACTTCCAATTATATTAGCTTCTAATGGTGAATTATAGATATTTGTTTTATTTACTACATGCAGTAAATCCTCAGTTAATGGCTGAGATGAAAATAAATCAGTTTTGGTCTTTTCTTTCGGTTTAACTATAAAACAAAATGAAATTTTTGGTACACAATACACTATATATTGATTAAATTTTTATTTATTTAACATACTATGTTTTCCTTTAGTTAATCGAATCTTAGTTTCTACATCAAGTTCATAGTCATTATATTTTAACTTTTGTTCTTGATTAATCAATTCTATAATTTGTGGTTGTTGCCATTCTGCAATAACCATAAGTTTTTTGAAAACTCCACGACCAAAATAATCTGCAACTAATGAAAAAGGGTCTTCTGCTCTGTCTAAAAGACTATGAAAAGTTTCATGAAGGTCTTTTGATTGTTCTTGAACTCTAATAATATCTAACCACTTTTTATTATTTGGCATACAAGCTGGGCATTCATTTTCATTTTCTGAGAAGCTTTGAAAACAACTAGAATATATTTATAATTAAAATTTTATTTAAAATTATTAAAGTTTATTAATGTATACTAACTGTTGATGATAAGAATGTTGACACATAAAGTGTACTGACGGTAATTCTAGCTGATGATGACAAGCACTACACCTTGATCCTTGAAAAATAATTGTACTGTTTTTTATACTTTGTATTAGTTCTCTTAATTTTTTAGTATCTAGTCGATATTTTTCTGTTAATTCAGTATCAACTTGGACTTGTTCGTATTCTTGTCGTAATACACTATTTAAATAATTTCGAACATCTCCTAAAGTACATGTCAACGATGTTGAAAGTGCATCAATTACCATTAACGGTGATAATAATTTTTCGTTAGCTACAAAAATATTTATACATATTTACAGAATATTTATTTTTAAAAATGAACAAAATAATTTTTCGATAAATCTTACCAATATAATCAAGAATATCAGATAAAAATTTAGGAGGTGTATTTTGATTTCTTACTATACTCCATAATGTTTGAATCCATAAATTTGGATCTTGACGACCAAACTTATTACACGTAGCTAAAACTTGATCAATATCTCCTTCACGTAAGTGATATTGCAATATTTCTTGATATCTATAAAATTTGTATTCATATTACTATAAAGCATAGTATAAAATCATAATATTCTTACAATTTCCTTTCTTCGTATAGATACAACACTCCTCGTCCAAAATTATGTTGATGACATAATATTAATATTTGATCCTTGCTATAACATGCATTTGAACTTTGTAATAAACGTACAACATTTTGCTCATATTTTAATTTTGCAATATCTTCTATTAAAGAAGACCAAACATGTAAATAATGTTCAACTAGAGTATTGTATACTGGTGTACTCCATCTATAAAATAAAATTTCTTTAATCTGAAACTTATTTATGGTATTTAAATTTAAATTATTAATGAATACTTTTTATTTACTTGCTATCGGTTTTAATTAAATATTCCAAAAATTCTACAAGTCGTTCAGAATTTTTCAAAAATAAATGTATATAGTCTTCAGGGTTAGCTTGTCCAATTGATTGTTCCTAAATATTACATAATTATATATTTTAATAAATTATATAAAGAAACTATTTATTTGTATTTAGTTAATAAACAAATATACCTTATATAATGATTTATTTGTTGGTTTATAATTTGTACAAAGATATTTTAAAAATTGTGTTGCTTCATTAGGAATATTTTCAATAAGAATATTTCCATATTTTTTCATATTCATTTCAGCTTCTTCAAAATCTAAAGTAGCTATATATTCTAAAGCTTTTTTGTATTCCAATTTATCTTCTATTTGGATACGAAGGTACCACCCATGCTTTTTATGCATTTGAGCTAATAACAATGCATCCGGAGGAGAACTTTGTCGACAAACTTTTATAGCAATTTCAACATCAAAATCGATTTCACGATCTTTTGTCTATAAAATATTTGGTTTATTCATGAAATTTTTGTTCAAAAGTATAATTGTTTGAAATAAAAAATTTTTACCATTATGAATTCTTTCAATTTATCTGTGTGATTAAGTTTTGTATAACAATTTAATAATAATGTTGTATGATCTTCAGTAGCTTGACTTTGTTTATGTAAAGCTTGAAGATATGTAGTTAAATAGTCTATATGCTGTGAATCTAAAAATTTTCTAATAATATAAGATGGTTCTAGTTTTCCTATTGTTTTTATGTATTGTTCTATGGCGCCATTATGATCACCTTTAGAATATAGGTGATCACCATATTGACGAAATATATCAACAAGACCTTCAATATCATAATGGTGATTCTTAGCTATTCTATAAAAGTTTGTATAGTTAAAATTAAACTTAAAAATATTAGATATAATTATTTAAATAGCAATACCTAATAGAAACATCATATAAATTTTTCTTAAAAAGTGATGTCAATTTTGACTGTAAATCCTTTTCATCTAAATGATACAATTTACAATCTCCACTCAGTATGAAAAAGCCCCCCCATTCTGATAAAACTGCTTGAATAGATAACATGGTAGCAGAAAAAACAATAAATTTATTTTGAATATCAAGAACTGTAATAATGTGCTTATCAGCTCCTGGAGGTATTGGTTCTATAGAACTAATATTGAACATTATTAAATACAAATAAAATTATAAATATAAAAACTACTGTTTTATAATTAATAATTTTACCTTGGTTTTGTAGAAATAGTAGTTGTTCTAGGTACAATTCCTGTGTCTTTAGCAACTATAACTAAATAATTTCTAAACCATTCTAACATTACTTTTTGGCCTTCTACTGCATAACATGGCCCTCTACCATCTGGAGTATAACAATAGACAGCCTGAAAAATTTTGTCTATAAAAAATTTTATATATAAAAATATTTTTAACTATAATATTTACATCATTTCGACCAATCATAAAATGGTTGTCTTGTTTTGATTCTGCAAGAACACTGCATTTTCTTGGACAACCCATATTATCCAAAACGGATTTGAATTCTTTATCTTTAATTGTTATATTATATATATAAACACTGTTAACAGTTGCTACAAATAAATACATTTGTTTACATGTTGATTTTATTGCAAGGCCAGTTATTGCTGAATTACTATCTTTTAAAATTTTTATTTTGTTCTTTCTTTCACGTGTCAAATCACCTCTAAAATAAACATGTTTTAAGCAAGTATTATTTTTTATTTTAATCCTTAAATTAAAGAACTAAATAAAGTTGAAAATATATCAATCACTTAAATTTACAATTAAAAATTAATTTCACCATGTACTTTAATAAAACATTATTTAGTTATTTACTAATAATTTACTATAAAGGATAACATTCAATCATATATTTTTACATAGAAAATATATCTTAGTTTTTACCTGTAAATATAATTTAAATATTAACTGTATATATAAGAATATTTATAAATAAAAATCAAGGGTTGATTCAACTTTTATACCTATAAAGCATAATAGAACCATCTTCAAATCCAACAGCCATTAATGTTAAACTTGAGTGAACACATAATACGTTTGCAGGTATTGCTCTATAGCTAGGTACAGCTCTACTGATGCGTACACAGGTAGGAAATCCTTGTTTATCTTTTTTTATTAAATTCCATACTTTAATGGTTGGATTACATCCAGTTTCATCTTCCTAGAATAGATATAAAGTCCTTAATATATTATTTAAACATTTATGGGAAATTATTTAATAAATCATTGTACTCCGATTGTGAAGAGAAATATAGAATTTTGTACTTGTTGAGCTGCAGTTAAACTAGTTTCATATGCTTTAAACGTAGTTATTTCATATTGTCTATTGACTAAATGTATATTTCCATTATTATCTCCAAACACCAAGTGTCCGTTTCCACTTGTTCCTGCTATGATTCGTGCTTCCTATCATTCAATAATTTAAGTATAAATTTAAATTTAAATATAAATTTTAATAAAATTATGCTTACACCAAGAATTTCTACGATTTTCCCAGAATCAACATCCTTCTTAAGATCAAAAAAATTAAAACGACGCCACTAAAATATAATATTTTATAAATAATATGTTTTACTTTAATTATATTACTGTAATATGTTAAAAATATATTGGAGAATAATATTTACAAAATAAATTACTAGAAAACTTACTTCTAGAAAGGTCATCCTTGATTTTTAAATTTTATCGAAACATTCGAATGAAAACTAGAAAATTCTAAATTAAAACAATTTGTTTTAAATTACTTATAGAAATAAGTAAACTTTCATTCTTTCTTAAATAATAAAATACACTCAAAATAATTAAATAGATAATTTAATAATATACTTTTAACTTTACTTGATTGTTTTATTCGTTCATTAGTGAGTATAAGCTTTCTACACTTTCTCTTAGATGGCAGTATTTACTATGAAAGTAGAGATACATGTAACGATACGAATGAGCTAATCTAGATTCTATGCTATATACTAATTGGTTAATGTATGCGCGGTTGTTTGATCTTTTATTAAAAAAAAAAGGAAAATTAAAAAGATATTGTTTTATATTTTTGTATTTTAGAAATGGTCTTTAAAAAATTTTTGAGTTTAATTATAATTGAAATGATCCAATTACATGTAATAGGTAAATTATTTCAATTTTCCATCTCTGTTCTATGACCGAATTCACTTAATTAACTTCATTTTATTTAAACAATATTTTGAAATATACACGTGTATATGCTTATATCGTTCTTGCAAATCATGTTTACTGTTCTATATGACAAAAATTACAAAATTCATTAACAATTTATTCAAAAACCATTTTTTAAAAACACACGTAAATATAAAGCTTATAAAAATTTTAGAATACATAACTTCAAAAATACAAATAATTTATAAGCTGCTTTTAGAACTAATTATATTATTAATTTACAAATTATAAATTTGTTATCATAAATTTTATTATATATATATATATATGTATATATATATATAGACTACTATATACGTTAATGTATACCTATATGTCTGAAATTCTAATTGTTTACGAAATATACATTCGATATTTGTACAGACGATAACTAGTGCTAATGTTGTAAGTTTTAATGATCAATATGTTTTAGAATAATTGGAGAGAAATGCAATAAAACAATTGTTCATTATTAGAATTTTTAATTTAACAGAAAAGCAATGAAGTACTAATCCTTAATATTGTTATTTTCTTTAATATTGATATTTTCCTTCCATATAGAAAGGTAATCCAAAAGGATATTTAAGATAAACATGTTATAAAGAATCTTAAAAAAACAAATAATTTATAATAATAGAAAAAAGAAAAGATAATTAAGAGAGGTAAATACAGCAAGGTATATACATAGATCAAAATAAAAATGAAAGAATTAGTAAAGTTAATTCCTAATTTTATTAATGTAACTGAAATTTACTAACTCAGAAGAACTGATCATTAAAGGCAATATATATGTAATAACCCATAATGTTTTTAATGCACAATTTTATTTACTTGCAGAATAATTCATTAAGGTTAATTATAATTATTTATTCATTTAAGTAATTTGCAAGTAAATAGTTCAGTCGGAATTTTAAACTGTTTATTTATTTTTAGCTATTGTTTTCTTTAAATTTGTTATTTTTTTACAGTTTTAGTGAAAATATGCCTACCTAAATTGTGATACGATATTAATAGAATTATATATATAATTACTACAATTCTTAGGTATATGTTTAGTTATATTTATAAGTACAACACATTTATATAATTATTTTAATACATATTATATAATTATGATTATTTTATTTTTTAAATACCTTTCGCATTTTAATCCTGAGATATACTTTAATATTTATAAAGAAATTTTAAGAATTTTTCTAATTGTAATATTTCAGTTTTTGTATGATTTTAAATATTATAAATCCTCTTTGAGATAATATATTATTCCTTAAATAAAAAATGCTTCAAAATATAGTTAAGGTTTATAGAACAACATCAGCTTTATAATATTGTAAATTATATACATAGATTTTAATTAAATATGTTAATTTTTAATGTCATAAATTTGTATATCGTTATGAACAACGGAAGTTCGAAAGTTATCAAAAACATTTTGTTATATTTCATAAGATATAACGAACAAGTCAGTGAATGGTTATTCTATCAGACAAAATATTCTGTCAGATATATATATTAATCATAAAAACATCGTTAAATAATTTTGATATCTTAATTATATTACAGAGGAACCACTAGTGATCAAATAACGAGTAGATTGGAATTAGCTATAGAAAACCAATATTAATATTTATAAAAACGTAATACATAATATTGTATAAATAAACTGTATCCCTATACTTAATTAAATTTATATTCATATTATTGCTTTGTCGAATATTTTCTGCATTTATAATACACTAATTAAATATAGTAAAATATTTTTAAATTTTTATTTTATAAAATCTTATGGGACCATTAATATATTATGAGATTAGTATGTAATATTTATTCAATAAAAAATTATATTGTTATTTTAATAAATTAAACTAATTAATAATGTATTCATTTAAATATTAAATAAGATTTTGTAGCTAGCAGCATATATCCATTGTTTTATTTTTATTCAAATTTTTATTATATAAAATTATCACATTATAAGATATAAGAATTATATCTACCCAATTAGTTTTTTAATTTCATCATTTTTTAATTTAGTTTATTTAGAATTATATATATAAATATATGTAAATTTTATATTATCTATATAAGATTTTTAAACACCATTTCTACGTTTCTCAGTTTAATTTAAAATTATTCGATATAATTTTATATTAAATAAATTGATTTTAATTATTTATTAATTTCTAATAAAATATTATAAAAATATAAAATATTATTATAAATTATAAAATATTATAAATTATAAAATATTATATGATTTATTATTATTATCGCACTATTATAATATTATAATTATTTTAATCCAGATACGAAGGCTAGATTTAAATGTTATTACACCTTTTAATTATAATACTTTATTTAATCTTATAAATCATCATTAATAATTCATCATTCATTAATAAAAGAAAATAATATTATTTTTATTATCACTGTTAAATGTCTAATTTCAATACAATAAACACATTTTGTAATATTTTACTTTCTAGTTTTATTCGTCTCCTTGATTTATTTATTTGTCTTTATTTAAGTTACGATAGTATATTAGTATCTATTATTTTTAACACTATGCATAGAATTTTCTATTTATTTATACCTTTAGTTATTTTGAATTTCTGTGTTTATTAAACTCGTAATTCAAATAATCATATTAATAATTTGAAGCAACTTCATATCGTACTTTTTTATGTCAAAGTTTGAATATTATATTTGCTTTTTTTATACACGCAACTATTGAGGAATTTTTATTTTTATCATATTATGCGATATTGAATCATTTCGCATAAACAACGAGATTGATTCTAAACATCTTATCACGTTATGTTACCGTATTACTACTATACACCGCATAATATATTAGACATACTATGATATATCAAAATACGTTAACTTACATTAATATTTATTCTTCATTTTTAATTAATACTTGTTGGTACATTAGAACATTAAACTTTATTTTCTACAATGATTAGTACTAATTATTACATATTGTAACTAATAAATAACGAATATAATAATAAATGAAAAATTAAAATATTAAAACTAATTACTAACACTTTTAGTTTATTTTTTTTCTTGGTTATATTTTGTTACTATTTCTTAATATTATTAAAAATGAAAATAATAACATTTATTATTATTATTATTATTATTATTATTATTATTATTATTATTATTATTATTATTATTATTATTATTATTATTATTATTATTATTATTATTATTATTATTATTATTATTATAAAGTACAGACACTTAATTGTACGTCATAAATCATAGAAACACATTTAGATTAATATATTTAGGTATCAATGGGTTTATTAAATAAATAAAACTTGGTTCTTCAAACTATTTTTTTTTCAAATAATTCAATTTAAATTTAATAGTATATTCTTCTGTGCCATTTATCATATGACAATTGAAATTCTTTCAGACCTATAGTTACATATCTATAATTGTTTGACCATTGTAACCTTTGTGGGCAATTAGTTATGTGTAGTATTTATCGAATTTTTCGAGAATCCCAATTGATAATTTTTCTGATCTTAAATCAATATTAGAATTATTATTAAATTCATTCATGAGTGCGAATATCTTTCTATTATATAAATTAATATACCTTTAATATACCTCCTACAATATTTCAACTAATGATTATTAATTAGATGTATAGAAATTATATAATACTTAAAATTTTACCTAAAAAAATTCAAATTTAATATTCAAAGCTTAATTCTGGATGAATGCATTTTGATTTTTTACAGTACTTGAATTTTCTTTTTTCATCATATTAATTATTTTATATCTAAATTATTTGTATGCTAATTAATAAAAGTAATTTCGCACGATATGTAAAATATTTAAATTATATAAAATTTTTTTTTTAAACTAGGGATTATAATGACAAAGTTAGTAACTTTGTTATTTTAATGAAGCCTAAAATAATTTCAAAATTCAAAATAAAAGCTAGACATAAATATTAATAGGTTCTTTCCTCATTTATAAAATTATCTTATTTAAAATAATTTTATTATATAAAATATATTTATATAATATTATGTATTGTTATATACTTTTATATCTGTATATTAAAAATATATTTTAGATATATATACAAGATATATTTATACAGGAAGCTGTATAAAGTTAATTTTATTTATTCATAACCGAATCTAGCAACAATAATATTTATTGTACAGATTATCACTTATGTTCTATCTAGATTGTAAATTGTACATACACTTATCAAAAACTATAAGAATTTCTATAATATAAATGCATATAATATAATTAAATTACTATCTCATTTGGGAATTTCAACATCAAACATTTAATGAGTCGACTACACAATAATCATGACTAGTAATAATTTAATTATAAAACACAATTATGACATTTTAATACTATAATTTTTCATGGCTTTACTTTTAACTCAATATATATTTCACTGATAATGATGCCATTTTATATTGAAAATATCAAATAAAAAATACATATGCATAACAGAGATATATAAATC